GGTGAGAGCCAGATCCACAAACACCTTGTGGGACAAGGAGGAAACCCTGGCAAACATTCTGTGTCACTCTTTCTTGCTCACGGACACCGCAACGGTCTGTGTGCTCCATCTCAAACCCCAAGGGGTCCATCCCAACTAATGAGCATGCTCTGTGCCCAGCGCTCATCCCACAGCCCGCAGGTAGGGTTGTAGGGTGGGAATTTGCAGGTTTTCCCCTCTCCCTGCTCCCTGCCTCTCCTCTGGTGCGAAGTTACCAGGAGCCCTGCAGGAAAGTGGGAGGGGATTAAATCAGCATGATTGGGGTCAGACACTGCCACTTCCTCGCAGGCAGGCCAACTAGCATGTCCCCTTACCAAACCCTTCCGTTCCTCCAGGCCAAAGAGGAATGTGGCCCATGCCCACAGCTCAGAGGATGACGGCAGTTCCGCTGGGGGTGAGGGGAGGGCCTCACCAACAATCACAGGAAGAGAAGCTGGGGTTTTCTTCATATGGGATGCTATCTTCCAACTGCCAGCTGAGGGGAGAAGGTGGGTGGAGAATAGAGAAGATTCTGGACAGAAATTACATAAGGACTAGCTGGGGAGATAGCAGGAGCTAGAATCTGAATGGCTCATGAACATCTACTAAAATTTTGATTAATTCTAACTGCTTGAGGCTAAACTTGTCCGATGTATTGCAAATTATAAATTTCAGAATCATTACAGAAGTCTGGGGATTCACAGCGTGGTACACTGTAGCCCCCACCCAATTCTTCAGGGCCCTTGACAATGGAAGTAACCCTGTTTTACCTACCAGGCTCTGTGACCCATCCTGCAGTGTACCCCTGGGTTCAGCTGGGCCATCTCCCCCACATCTGCCCCTCCTGACTTGCTCCTGAAGAGGGCGGTCAACTCTTGGCTCTCAGAGTTTCTCCAGAAACTCTGCCTAAGGAAGAGAAGGAAACCTCAGAGCAGGCTCACAGACCGAGGTGAGGGTGCAGAAGGGAGCAGCCCCCCACCTGGGGTGTATCTGTCCCAAACAACCAGTCAGGGCCGGGCCAACTGAGAGTCACAAACTGGCCTAATCTGCCCCACTGTGGGATTTTCTTCTTGAGTTGTGTCACTGTGTTTATAGTCGTACCACCTTGAGAGGGCCGGAGAGGAATACCGATGTCATTTCTAAGGCTCTCAGCTCCCCCTCACTCACTGCCCTTGGAGATGAGGAGAGCCACAAGCCTGATTGCCACACTTTGGTTGTCAAATTTACATTCACTCCCTTACGAACCACTGAACATGCTAAGCTACACATTCAAGGGGGATCTGCTCCCCTCGAGTTCATTTCCTCTGCCCCTGGCACCTCCCAAGCTCCCAAGTGGATACGATCCCACCACCTTCAGTTGACTTGCTTCTCACTGGGGCCTTGGGGTGGCCATGAAGAAGGGGGCTCATCTCTACAGAGCTTATAGGCTCTGGAGTGGCTGCACGTATTTGGTAAGTTTATTCTTCTTTACCTATCATGTCAGTTGGAAACTGAGGTTCACGTTCACGACCTGGTAAGAATGAACAGTCCTCAGCAAAAGCCATCAGGGTTAATAGTTCCTGAACGTTGTCAGGGGTGGTGGCCATTGTCTACTTAATTCTTCTTCAGTCTTTACGTCCTTAAGCCTTCCACCAGAGAAAGAGAAATGAGCTGCTGGAATCTCACAGGTGTGAATAGCAGACATGGCCAAATGGAAGCCAGCCTCACTCGTTATTTGCACAGAATGAGCAATTGTCATCAATGCACTGGGTCTTTCTTAAACTAAATGCTTAGCCTTCACAATTAAAGTACAGATAAGACTCCAATTAATGAATAGTGAGTGGTAGTTCTTTAGGGAAATTAGCTTCAATCCGGTCTCCAGTGGAAGTACCTGCAATAAATCAAGCCAGGTTAATCAAATGTTACCTAACAATGGGCTTCAGGGAATGCGCTAGAACGAAAAGAAGAAATACTTGGAATTGGCATATCAGTTGTTGAGAGTGTAGATAGGAACTTCTTAGGGTGTTTAGACACCCTAAGTGGTGTTTAGACACCACTAAACACTTAGGGTGTTTAGTACTTGTTGCTTCAAGTACTATTTGTGGCTTAGATCTCTAACTTCTCAAGGTAATCTATCTCGCAAAGTGGAAAACATTTTATTTTTTATTTTTTTAATTTTTTTTAAACGTTTATTTATTTTTGAGACAGAGAGAGACAGAGCATGAATGGGGGAGGGGCAGAGAGAGAGGGAGACACAGAATCGGAAGCAGGCTCCAGGCTCTGAGCCATCAGCCCAGAGCCCGACGCGGGGCTCGAACTCACGGACTGCGAGATCGTGACCTGGGCTGAAGTCGGACGCCCAACCGACTGAGCCACCCAGGCGCCCCTGGAAAACATTTTAAATGCTGCACCTGGAGGGCCGCCTGGGTGGCTCAGTCAGTTGGGCGGCCGACTATGGCTCAGGTCATGATCTTGCGGTCTGTGAGTTCCAGCCCCGCATCGGGCTCTATGCTGACAGCTCAGAGCCTGGAGCCTGCTTCGGATTCTGTGTCTCCATCTCTCTCTGCCCCTTCCCTGCTTGGTCTCTCTCTCTCTCTCTCTCTCTCTCTCTCTCTCTCTCTCTCTTTATCTCAAAAATAATAAACATTAAAAAAAATTTTAGGGGCGCCTGGGTGGCGCAGTGGGTTAAGCATCTGACTTCAGCCAGGTCACGATCTCGCGGTCCGGGAGTTCGAGCCCCGCGTCAGGCTCTGGGCGGATGGCTCAGAGCCTGGAGCCTGTTTCCGATTCTGTGTCTCCTTCTCTCTCTGCCCCTCCCCCGTTCATGCTCTGTCTCTCTCTGTCCCAAAAAAATAAATAAAAGTTGAAAAAAAAAAATTTAATGCTGCACCTGGAGAGGGAGGTGGAGGGGGGCAGACAATGGAGGGTGAAAGGAGAGGAGTCCCCTCAGTTCAGGTTCTGTCATGGATAAAACCCTACCCCCAAGATGTCTCCCCCCGCCCCGGACTTGTCTCACTGCCTGGCTTCTGGGCTCCAGGCTCGGGCAGAGATGCCTAAAGGTGTGCCGAAACTCAGGAAAGACTGAAGGTTCCAGGTGAGGCTGGGGTCTTGGCTAAGGACCTATAGTCCAGGCCCATATGGGAACCCCAAATCTCCACCCCACGGCAATTTGGGCTGTGCCTCACCCCTCAGCCATGGGCAACAACCAGACCCAGACTCTATGCCTCTTGCTCTGCTTAGAACATCCCTAGGGGAGGCATGTTCTTTCTGGGAAAGAAACCTAGAATCTTCTTTCCTACAAATGCTGACAGAAACATGATGTTGGGATCTCATCGCAAGCTCAGCAGGTCTACAACGAAACTCACATTTCCACATAAGCCTGCTCCTTCCACATTCCCCATCCCAGTGGATGGCAACACTGGGAAGCAGTTTCCCATCCCAAAAAAGTTTTTCTGAGTTCCTTCGGATCTCATCCTGTGGCCAGCTGGTCACCAAGGCTGGTCGATTCTACCTTTGGTCATGGAGGGAGTGAGGGGGGACCCCAGAGGTGTGTAAACACAAGGCCAGCACCTTCCCTCACCTGTGTGCCCTCTCCGGGTCACAGGTTGCTTTGTCTGGGGTGCACCCTGTCACGGGTGCCGGTGGACTCCGCCTTCCTGTACCATCAGTGTTTGGGACGGCATTAGCCTTGGGAAGGATATGGTGTATTGTGCTGTTCTCAGGGAGTTCACAATTTAGGTGAGAAGAAATACAGTCCAAAGACGAACATAAGCCAAGCACCACAGGAGGGTGGGTTTGGAAACTGAGCCACCCAGGCGCTCCAGCATGAGTGTGGGTTTGGGACAGGGAACTGGGGGAGGCTTAGCCAAGGGACAGAGGCTTGAGCTCACTTAAAAGAGAAGTAGAAAAAAAAAAAGTAAAAAAGAGAGAAGCAAGTAACATTTAGTAAGTGGTAAGCGCTCTTGGCAGATGGTCAGAACTTTTCACATATGTGTCGCAGTTAAGTACGGGGCCCCGAGCTAGCTTTGGGACATACGTCTGTCTCTCACCAGCTTAGCCTTACAATTAACCACACTTAAGAAGTGTGGTTCTTAGCCTTACAATTTCCTGTTCTGCAAGATGGCGAAGATAACACCACACAGAGTTGTGAGGGCTAAGTGAGCTAATACATTGAGCATGCTTAGAACAGCATCTGGCACACAGTAATTCCCGGTAGTGTTGAGCTTTATTTAATAATCATCCTCATAAGAACCCTCTAAGATAAGGTCGGTTCATTTATTCTCTCGAGCATGTCTATCGAGGGGATACGGAGATCAAGAAGACAGACCCGAGGGGCTCCCTCACAGCGCCGTGTGGGAAGAGACAAGGAGAGGCACCACATGGCACGGTGGCTTCCAGAGTGCCAGCGAGCAAAGGGTTGTCGCTTCTCCAATTCTGCCGGGGAGGGGCTGGTCCTGCCTTCCAGGTGATGCTCCAGGTGGGTCTGGAAGGTTCGCGCTGCAAAGGCAAGAGGCACTCTTGCTGCCTTCTGCTGATGGGGCTGGCGGACACAGGTTTCTGAGGTCGGCGGACTCAGACTGGTGAGAGGAGGGGCGGGAGCCTGGAGCCAAGTCGCAGGCAGCCTGTCACGCCATGTGGAGGGAGCAGGCCTCTGACCTACAGGCTGCGGGGGCTGCTGCAGTGATCCCGAGCAGGGGGCCTATAGCAGCGGCAGCCCTGGGGGCCGTGGGAAAGGCCACGAGGCAGTGGAGCATGACCAGGTGAGTAGAGAGGGAGAAGGAATAAATCAGGTCCAGCATCGGCACTCCTCAACTCCCCTGGCACAGGCAACCTGCACATTAACCTCTAGCAACCCCATGGTTATGTAAGTAAACAGAAGGTTACTGACTGTATGTTTTTAAAACTCTGATGTTGACTTCCCAGAGGAGCACAGCCGTAGGACGGTGGAAGAAGCTGGACACGTCAGCTGAACGCTAAGTTAAAAAAAAGACCAGAGCCATGTGTAGGTTGTCTTAAAACCATCGGGTTGTTTATTGGTACGTACACAATCACACTCATACACCCCCGCACATCCACTCCTGACGCACTGGGCCGGTACAGTACTGAGAAGGGAACTGACAAGATACAGCAGGCTGCTGAGGGGGCTTCGGGTCACTGGTGACTCTCCAAATAAAAAATACGCGGACTGTGAGGCAAGGGATACACCAAGACAACAGCCTTCCATCACTGAATGGACAAGTTCTCCTGTCCATCACCTCCCTGCAATACCTCCCCAGATGCCCTGAAGAGACCCAGGTACATGGCCAACCATGACAGGGTCAAGTTGTAGAGGAGAAGATGGGGCTGAATCTCCCACTGAGCTAGTCTGTCAAAAGTCCCCTGACACAGTCAGATGGCTTTGTGATCCCCAACTCCACCAATCTTAGGAACCTGGGGTTTCTCCATAATCTTAACATCCATTACCCAAGGATAGGGGCTTTTTCTCTCCACCCAACTCATTTTCTGCTCAAGAACGCGTCCAGCTCCATTTGCAGCAGCCTGACGGACAGGGAGGGCGAGGAACAACCAGGGAGAACAAGGGCAGGTGGGGGGCCTTGCCCACACCTAGGGGAGCCCACCCAGCCCCGCCCCTGGCAGACCTCTGCTCTGCTGAAAAACAGAAGGCTCTGAGCCCTGGCCTCATCCCAGGCTCCATCACTCCTGCGGGCCAGGGTGCTCTGACCCACTATCCCACCTGTTAGCCGAGCCCCTGCTCAGAACCCAAGTCGATCAGGTTGCAAACCAGCTGCTCGGCCACCTGTAGGTGACGAACTGGCACCTCTCCAGAAAACATGCTCCAGACACGTGTCCTCTCCTCTCACTTGGATGAAGCCCTGGGTTCCATCAACTCCCCCTGAACTTGGGCCCCAAACATGTCCAGGCATTTTGGCAGGACGAGGAAGTGGATTAAGACGGGTTTCTTGGGAATGACATTCCGACCAAACTAGGACCTGTATCCCCCAGCCCCGGTTGCCACCGTGCTGCGTGAGGGAAGCAATTAAAATGGTGGAAGCTGGGTGGGGCTCAGGAATTTCTGGAGGAGGCAGTCCCTGCACACTGAGAGAGCCCTGAACAAGGACTGGCTGATTTAGGGGCAAGCAGGAGAGTGAAGACCTTCATCGACACTGGATTTCCTGGACCTGGAATATGCTCACTAAAGCAGAAGCTTTATTTTCTTCCTAAGAGATCAGGGGAAGAGAACCCCGGACTACCTTTTTCCCACATCTGATTTGAAGGTCAGTGTATCTTCAATCCACCCACTGGGTATATTCTTAGGGGCTGGATTACTAAAGTGGGACAGAGGAGGACAGCAAGGGAGGGGATGCTGAGCAGAATAGACGGCGCATGGGTAGCTCTCTTCTGTCCCCAGAGCCAGGACCCCACACAACCCCCAGCCCTGCCCCAGCAGCAACTCCACGCTACCGCTGGGGTAGGAGGCATTCCCACCACTCTTTGGACTTAAGGCTACTGCAGGCCATTGGCTCTCTGTCCAGCTGACCTGCCTGCACTTCTTACTAGGTATGAGGGCTGAGAGTTTCCCCATCCTTACCCTTGGCCCAAAGCTCAGAGGCCCGTTTTTCTCAGATTCTTCCCCAACTCACATTTGGGATTCATCTTAAGCAAGAGCCTGGAATCACCACCTTAGCCTTCCTCCTCCCCAGCCTCACCATCTGAGGGAGAATGGGGCTTTCTGCAGCCCCTCCCAGCCCCCAAAGAGGTTCTGGAGGCAGGAGCTGCCGTTGTGGAAATAAGGTGGGAAAAGGGGCTAATGCTGGGGGGTGCCCAAACCAGTTATCAGACAAGCAGGATGTGCACGGGGACCAGAAGGCCCAACAGCCTGAGCAAGGCAGAGTCCGAAGTGCCGTTTTCTTGGAAGGGCCATCCTCAGCCCTTGGCACGGCATCCTGGTATCTGGTGGAGGTCGCAGTCCAGAACAGGCTGGCTAGGCCCAGAAGAGGGAGGGTGAAGTCACAACCCCACCTGGGCTACTGCTGTCCTGTCCCTTCTGCAGAATCCCAAGCATGGACAACCTCGAGTCCCAGCCACAGCCACAAGAGACTTACAAAGGACACACGATGGGACTCAGAGTAGTGGGATGCCGAAGGGGGTGGACGAGTATATTCTGAGATCCAGGGCAACCGGAAAGTCACGACGAGACTAGGAGCCGTGAGAGGACCAGGGAACGAGCAGGAGAGGCCAGGGCCAGCTGAGCCTGTGAAACCCAGCAGGAGGACGCTGGCCCTGGGGGCCGTGGCTAGTCCCGGAAGGCGGAGAGCATGTGTCCATAGAGATAGTGGGAGCGAGCTGAAAGAGAGAGAGAGGGAAAGAAAGAGAGAAAGAGAAAGACAGAGAGAGAGAGAGAGAGAGAGAGAGAGAGAGAGAGAGAGAGAGAGAGATGCATTGCACGGTGAGCTGGGAGTCGTCCCTGGGGGTCTGGGGCGCATGCATGCGCAGCGAGCTTGCAAGCGCCAAGCGCCCGGGCGGTGGCGGCGGCAGCGGGCAGGGCAAGCCGGACGAGTGCGGGCCTGGCAGGTGCACAGCGCGAGCGGGGGCCGCCGGCGGCGGGGGCGGGGGGGGGGGGGGGGGTGGTGTCCGGCCCGGGCCCGGCCCACTTACCCCGCGCCACGGGCACACCCCCGCGAGAGCCGGGGCGGGAGGGGGGTCAGCAGGAGTAGGTCCGAACCGTGGAGGGCTCCAGTCTCTGCGCCCCCGCCGTCCCGGCTGGGAGGAGTCGGCGGCCGCGGGAGAACACAGAGCGGCGGTTAGTGCGCGCGCTCCGGGGGTCCGCCCGCCCGCCGGCCCGGCGGCAGCGTTAGTGCAGCGGCGCCCGCAGGCCCCTCCGGCGGCCCGGCACTCACCCTCCGGCGTGATCTTCTTCGGCGGCGCGGGCGGCGGCTGCAGCGGCCCCAGCGTGGCCACGCGGAAGGCGGCCGGGAGCGTCTCGGCCGAGGCGCCGAGCAGGCCGCCGTGCGGGTCCCGCGGCCGGAAGCGCTTCCTCCAGGACGGCGCGCGCCGGAACACCTTGTCCTCGCCCTGCATGGGACACGCGGAGGCCCTCACTCCCTGCCCGCGGGAAGCGCGCTCGCGGCTGCTTCTAGGGGTGCCACTAGAAGCCACTAGGTCCCACTGGAAGGCGGGGTACGGAGGGGGGGCAAGGTCACCTCCTCTGTCTGGCCCTGTTTTTCCGTCGGTAAAATGAATGGGGGCGAAGTAGTGGACTCCCAGGGGCCCCGGGGGATTCAGATTCCTTGTCGCCAGGTAGGGTGGGGTCCCCTCTGGTCAGACCTGGCACCATCCTGCAGTTGAACCGTCTCCCTGCCCAGCCCCGTCATCTCACACTGAGCTGGGGATGCCCACTGACCTTTCACGTTCTCCTAGCCTCGTCCCGGGGGCACCGAGCAGCCCCCACCCAACCCCTCCTGCCTTCCCTCTGGCTGCAGCCCAGGGTGTGCCGGAAACGCACCGGGCCAAGCGTCAGGAGACCTGACTACCATTTTACTAGTTATGTGTCCCTGGGCAAGTTAAGTGACCTCTCTGAGCTTCCATTTCTGTGTCCATAAAATAGGAAGAACATCATCTGCCCTCTTTCTCAGACTGCCTATCCCTAATGGGATCAAGTGAGAGCATTCTGTGACAGCGATGGGTCAGGTGGATGGCAGATCAGAGGCAGGCTCCCCCAAAGGAGGTGGTGGGCCATCTGTCAGCGGAGTCTCCAGACTATCTCTGCCAAAGGGCACCCAGAGCCAAAACTCTACAGGATGCCCCTCTGCACAGGCCTCCCCATCCTCCCCGGAAGAGCTCACTTCCACCCTGCTTGGCAGCCATGTCTCATCTCCCCAGCACCAACCCCCACCCCCTCCACCCCGACCAAGCCAATCGGTGTTCTCAGAACGGCTATAGGCAGAGAGCTGCTGGAGGAACAAGAGACATTAACCCACCAGTTCTTGCCTCAACCCCTCCCGGCCCCAAGCCCCTTGTTGCTTGTGCTCTGAGGAGGCCAAACCCTATCACTTCTTGGCACAATGTACTTCTGTCCCAGCACCCACGCTGGTATCAGTTTTTCGTGTACTTATGGGATTACAGTAAAACCTTGGATTGAGAGTAACTTGTTCTGCGAGTGTTCTGCAGGATGAGCAAACGTTTGTAATAAATTTTAACTTGATAAACGAGCGATGTCTTGTGATATAGTTCGTGACACTGAAGGTCACATGATCACAACCGAGCCAATGGTTCTTGAAATTTGCTTTGGTATACAAGTGCTTTGGATTACAAGCATGTTTCCAGAACAAATTCTGCCTCAAAACCAAGGTTTTACTGTATTTCATTAACCACCCCCCTCTCTCTCTCCTTCTTCCACTCCCCTCCCTCAACTCTCTCCCTCTCACTTTCAAATTCTGTCCTCCATGGGACAGACACCATCATCTTTTTAGTTCCAACCAATGTATCCCCAGCCCCAGAGTAGTGCTCAGGAACACTGTAGGCACTCAATAAATACTTGTTAAATGAATGGATGGCAGCTGGCTTCCTATGTAGGCATCCTATCCCTGAATTCATCAGGAACTTTCCTCATTATTTCTGTCTGGTCCATGATCCTACCCTTAATCTAGCCCAGGGTGGTTTCCCTTTCTCTCTCTCTTTCTCTCTCTCGATTTCTTTTTTTTTTTTTTTTTTTAATTTTTTTTTTTCAACGTTTATTTATTTTTGGGACAGAGAGAGACAGAGCATGAACGGGGGAGGAGCAGAGAGAGAGGGAGACACAGAATCGGAAACAGGCTCCAGGCTCTGAGCCATCAGCCCAGAGCCCGACGCGGGGCTCGAACTCACGGACCGCGAGATCGTGACCTGGCTGAAGTCGGACGCTTAACCGACTGCGCCACCCAGGCGCCCCTCTCTCTCTCGATTTCTACCTTCAGCCAGCGCTAAGACTTGTTCCTGTATCACTTGTCCCCTAGAAGATGTTCTTCCTGTTCCTCTCCTCTTTTCCTTAAGTCCTGCTCTCCATGTAGGGGGAGACTTGGATACAGCCCTCCAGGGCCTTGAAGCTTGAGAGGGGAAACTGAGAACCAGAACTGACAGAGGAAACAAGAGACAGCTCAAGGTTGCTGATGCTGTGCTAGATGCCTAGACAGAAAACAGTCTCCCTGGATCTCTGACCTCCCCTGTGCCCACCACCACCAAATCCCACCTCAAGCTTAATTCCTCATCAGTCAGAGGGGGATGATAACCTGCCCCACATGATGATTGTTAGCATAAAATGAGTTGTCTGTCACCAGTATATCCCTATGCCTGGGCCAATGCCTGGCCCAGAGGAGGCCTTCAAAGAATATTTTTATAAGGATTGAAGGAATACACAGCTTTCTAATTAGGAAGCACCGCACTAAGATATATAGGAATCATTTTTCTAAACAGCATCAAAGAAAGCGAAGATCCTCGGCAGGTGGGGAATAAAAGAAGGGTCCACATGGCAGGGGCATTGGAAAAATTAAGATCTCTGAGGGTGGGGACAGCTGGTGGGGTCTGGCAATTTATCTCCTTGACAGGAATACATACACACGTACACACACATATGTGTACGTGTGTGTGTGATTATATGTGTGTGTGTGTGTGTGTGTGTGTATAAATAACACACTCCATATTTCAAGGCACCTCCGTGAAGAACACACCCCTCCACAAATTCCGTGTATGCCTGAGCGTGTCCTATCTACCGAAGCAGAGCAGTCATTCCACAAAGGTGGATTTTAGCCCTGGCCAACCCAACTAAGAAAGACTAATTGATAAGGAGGTGACACTAAGGGTGTCCCAAAAAAGGAGGTCCACTAGTCCAAACAGAGGCATTGGTCGGGGAGGGGATGTGTAGAAAGGGAAGCTACACAGACAACGGAGATCAGAAGAACTAGATTTGATTGAAGATGGAGAAGCTAAAAATAAATAATCTGGGCTCCTTTTTAACTTGTTTGGAGCCAGGGCAGCCAAGCCTCACCTGACAGGCAACAGCAGGGAAGGTTGGTGATCAAAAGTAAGTAGGGAAGAAGGCGGGAAGGGGGAAGGGGGAAGAAGAGAGGAGGGCTGAGGAGGGGGCTGCACCCTCAGGAAACAGGTAACCCTTTGGTAGGCATCTCCAATGGGGGCATTAGAGCTCAGGACATGCAGGTCTTCCTGGACACAGTCCAGCCTAAACGCAAGGGAAAGGCCTGACAAAACCCAGGGGAAAAGGCTGTGTTTTCATCGAACACGGGGGCCAAGAAAAGAGAACCTTAACTTGATATGAAGGTAACTCAAGAGTAAAACTGGAGAGGAAGCAGTGATGATATACGTCTGAGCCAGTGTGTCAAACTGCCCTGTGGAACAAGCGAGCAAGCCTGTCGTTTAAGGACCTCAGCATAACGGCTGCCTCCAAACAACCACACTATGACAGGATGGGAATCCTAATAAGCAGGCTGGAATCATGCTCTGCCAATAGCACTGAGAGATGGTATCTGAGAAATGGAAGAAAAAGGTATGATCCCAAGGAGATGGCCTTTGGGGGAACCTCTGATCCTGTGTGGTTAGGACAGCGGCAGGGCAGAGTTGGAAGATGCTAGAAGTATAACATATAGGAGCCTTTAGTTTTTGTACAAGGAGTTTCGTGGAGACTTCTCCAGGCCTACTGCTAGGCCTCGCTCTTTTGCCCCCCTCCCCCAATTCCCTGACATCATCGCCATCCCCTCTGGCTCTTCTCCCTTTGACCACCCCACCAATTATCGGCCCAAGGAAAGCACAACTCATGAACTCCAACCCAACCAACCAACAATGGCCAAATCCCAAAGGCCCCTGATTCACAGCCAAGTACTCACATCATCCAGTTTCCGGTCTGTGCCCAAGGCCAACAGGTTGTTGAACTCTCTTTCCATCACCTGGCGAGCCTGGAGTCCACAGGGTAAAAGAGGAAGAGGTGGGAGGGGTATAGTCAATGACTTCTATGTCATCTTGCTTCTGTTTCATAGGGGCCCATAGACAGAGATAGGGCTTTCAGTGCATTTAACCCGTGAGCCCTGATGCTGTTTCAAGCAAACTTCAGGGTCCTCTTGGAAGTGAAACTGTAAACCTTAGGATTGTTTCATATGGAGCACATTAGAAAACTGTAATTTTGTACAAAGTAGGACCACAGAACACATGGATCACAGGGTTCCCTTAAGTGGAGTGAGGGGGAACCCCATATTGTGTCTGTAAAGGAAAATCAGGCCTTACTACCTTTCTGAAGGGATAAATGAGCATGTAGACCATGGATAAAAAGGATTTAATTTAGATTAAAGAAACGTATTTCATAAGGCTCCACATCAAAACTTTAAATTAGGAGGACGGCTGAGTCACAGATCTCCATGGCCCTTGGGCTGACGGTGCATACAGGCCTTGACTAAGCCTCCCAGGAGCCTAACTCAGCAGGAGATTTGGGAAACGCCAGAAACAACAAAGTTTTCAGAACTGCCACCAGATATTTTTAACCATTGTTGAGGAAGAATTCCATGTTGGGTCAGCCCCCACTTCCTCTCATAGCTCTCAATGGAAGAGTCAGGAAAACCAGAAAGGTTAGCACGCACCAGAGATGTCTCCGGCCGCTCTTTACAAATGCATTGCGAGCCACAAAACCCGGACACATTTAGAGACAGGAGACAAACAAACGATAGAGAAGAGCAAGCCCATTTCCGGGTGAGAAATGCTAACCACGGAGGTTCATAAGGACTGTCTCTGTCAGCATTGAGAAGGTAATATTCTCATAAGTGACAGCAAAGGAGAAGCCTAATACACTTCCAAGTATCCAGACGACACCGCTCCTCTGGGTAAGGAAAGGTGACGATGACACTTACAAACTTCAGAAACCTGTCCCAGAGCTGTGAGAGCAGGTGAGAACGCAGATGAGGTTGGAGGTGGGCACGTACAGAAAAACTGCGTAGGGGGGTAGGGGAATCCCAGCTCTTCTTAGAGAACAGGGATCTGTCCTCTCCGTTCTGCCCGGCCGGCGGGGGGGGCGGGCGGGGGGGAGAGGGGGTCACTGCCGAGAGCCTATGGGACACACTGGCCCTGTGTGCTGCCAACATCCCCAAGAGGCCAACACGCCACCCGGCATTACGAGACCACACAGCCCCACCCTCGCACGAGCCAAAACGCATCTGCTCCCGGAATAGCTTGTGCGACTCCAGTGGCTGAATTTCAAGAGACCTGACAGCTGCAACCAGTCCAGACAGGGGCAGCTAAAACGATCAGGGCACGGAGGCGAGTCTATATGAGGAAAGCCTAAAAGAATTAAGATCACTCCGTCTGGAGAGACAAAGGCCTGAGCCCCGAGGCAACACAATCAGAGTTTATGAAATCACAAAAGGTGAGCACGGGCCAAATACACATAGCCTCACCAAACCTAGTAAATGAGGATGAGGCCGTTCCCTTCCCCAGGGGGAGCCTGACTGGGGCACAATTTGGGACAAATAAAATCAGGAAGTACTAAACACAACAGGTAGTAATTCTGGAGTCCTTTACCCACAGGAAGCTAGAAAGGCCAAACATATAAATAGGTCCAAGAGAGTTTAGATATCGTCTTGGATGAGAGCTCCATAACAATTGTGAAATGTAATTTAAGGAGATGTCTCATCATTTGAGCTGTTGACAGGGAGACAACGGCCTGGTGCAGAGAGGCTCTGGGCTGTGTTATTTGGTATATTTAGCTTTCTCAAGCCTGGGAGCCCAGGGCAGATCTCTGGGGTAGGAGACAAAGGAGATGGGGGGGGGGGGGTCTCTGATCCCTTCGGCCCCCAGGCCTTTTCTCCTCTAAGAAGAGTCAGGTCAGAAAAGCAGAGTGAGGAAAAACAAAGCGTCACTGGGTGTTGTACGTGAGCGATGAATCAACGGGAATCTAACCCCAAAACCAAGAGCATACCGTATATAATATACACTGTATGTTCGCCAACTTGACGATAAATTATATGAAAAATAAATAAATAAGTAAACAGGCAGATTAACTAATTAATTAATTAAATAAAAAACAAAGTGTCAAATGCAAAGATGGGGTTGGGAGAGGATTAACACAGTGTTCTGGGCCTGGGCTAGATGTGCCCTGTATGTGAAGGAAGTCTGCTCCCTAGGTGGCCTGGTTATGCACAGAGACCACTTGGAGGTGTGAGGACGTTGTGATCCCCTCTGAGACAGGCCCCAGAACAGTCCCTCAACAAATCTGTAAACCTGTGTGTGTGAGCAGGAGAGTCAGTGGAGTGGGAGCCTGAGATTAAGACTGACTGATGACAAGGATGCCCACCTGGGTGTTCTGTGTGGGAATCTGGAGGACCAGGGCCAGCGTGTTGTGGTCAAAGTTCTCATCCAGGGCCAGCAGGGCACCATGCACACCGCTCTCCTGCAGATTTCCTGCATAATCCCGGAGCCCAATGGACTGGACCCAGTGAACCACCTGGTCGTTGGTCCAGACCAGCACATCTGGAGGGCGGGGCAAGAAAACGGGTTAGGAAGAGACAGTAGGTTTGGCCACACCCCCTCCAGGGATGGAAACCACCTTCCCTGGACCCAGAGCTCCAGTCTACCCTGCTTTCTGTCTTCTGTCTGTCCTCCCTGGCACCTGGGCTCCTAGAGAACCAGCACCACCTCCCTCCATCCCTGCCAGCCTGTAGGACTCAAGGGTCAGGCCAGCAGGCTCCTGACTTTCTCCCCAGAGCCCTTGGCCAGGCCATCCCCTACCCCCAGGCTGGAATGGTCCTCTTAGAATCTAAGACTTGTCTCTCTTTCCTGCCCAATGCCACCCAGATCAACACAGTCCATGAGCATTTTCCCAGGCCAGTCCATAGCACTGTCCGAGGGGATTCACTGCATGTGTCCAGTCGGTGGCCATTGTCAGGGGGTAGGGTGGGGTTACAGGTGACCGGGCAGGGCTATTTCTTCTCCACCAGATGACAACGTCCTTTGGGCATGGACTAGGTCTCCCTCATCACCTGAGCTTCCCTCAGGTTTGGAGGCTCCCTAAGGTACAGAATGCCTCTTCTCCCCGCCACTCGCCCAGGGCAGGGGACAGGAGGCAGGCATCTGCTCCCCCAAGGCTGCTCCCATGCCTTTCAGAGGAGCACGCTGAGCCTGCTAAGCTTACCCTTGATCTCATGCTGGCTTTCCTCCCGTCTTTTCTCCAGCTCCTTTCGGTCATAATTCAGCCTCTTCAGACACATGATGCCATACTGAAGACTGGTTCTGCAGGTACATAGCCCCCCCTGAGCCAGAGCCTCAGGGGGGCCACATTCCCGCCACATCTGTCCTACATCCAGCACTGGCCCTAGCATGTTCAGGCCTGTGTCTTCCAGCATAAAGAGCACCCCGGCCCACTCATGCTCCTCCTTTTCCCAGGGCTTGTGTGTGATCCAGCCCAAGACTACTTTCCCTCCTCTGCCTACCCTATGTCCTCCCTCTTGGCCAGGGTGTGGGCCTGATGGAAGGAAAGTTCTCTCAAAGAAGCAACATTCCCCCCCCACCCGCTCCCACCCCAGGCACTGGAATGACCCTACAGATATCTGACCCATAAAAATAGGACCCTACAGAAAGATCCCTACAAATAGTTCTTTGTATCCCCATTTCACTCAGAGTCCTTACAATGACCTACACGTGCTACATGACGTGCCCCTGTACAGTGACATCTCTGTTCTTCCTCAGACACAGCAGGCACGCTTGGCCTCTGTGCCTCAGGGCCTTTGCCCTGGCTGTTCCCTCTGCCTGGAACACTCTTGCCCCGATCTGCTGCGTGGCTCACCCCGTCTCCTCGAAGTCTTTGCTCAAGTGTCATCTTCTCAATTCAACGGTCACCCTGTCCCCCTGATTTAAAACTGCACCACCACCATCACTACCCCCAGCCCGTATTCCCAACACCCCCCCCCCTTATCCTGATCTAACCTTGGTCTATTTTCTTTCCTAGCAGTTTTTATCTATTAACATACTTTATATACAATACACGTATGGTTCTTTTTCTGTCCCTCCCAGTTAGCATGTAAACTCCACGAGGGCAACTCTGTTTTGTTCACTGGTATTTCTCAAACCCCTAGAATAGCATCTGGCACTTAGTAAACACCATAAATACTTAACAAATGGAATGCAATGGTTCACGGAAAGTACTAAAAGTACTTAAACAGTACCAGGTGCATAGTAAGCATTCAATAAATAATAACTAAACCAGACCAAGAACCATCGAGTCTGCAGGTTAGAAGGGACCCTCCAGGCCACTGGTCCAAGCTCCTATATCATGCAGGTGTCACCTGTGTACCATCCTTCTGCATAGTATGAACACCTGGGCCCAACACCTCTGACGACAGGGAACTCACTACCTCCTGAGGCAGCTCCTTCCACCGTGGGCAGCTTCTATCGTAAGGTCCCTCCTTAACTTGAACACTGCTTGTCATGCAGCCTCTCTGGGTTTTGTCGCCTATCAAACGGAGGAACAGACATTCCCTCCAAACTCTATTTTGTGGCCATTGCTTTGTGAAATTAAACTATGCTGCTGGCTCCTTTCTTCTCTCCCCCTTCAGCTATACCCAGGCAGCCCTGGGGCCTCGAACAATCCCTCACAGCTCCGAGACACCACTTCTAGGACTTCTTTTCTGGCCCAAGGCACTCAGTCATTGCTCAAGCCTGGGTCCACTGGAGGGGGCAGGAGCACACACACGTCCTAACTAGAAATGCCTTTTGTCTCCTTCCAGTCCCACTTGCTATAATTTTCAGTCCAGTTCCGAGGACTTTCAAAGTTGTTTCACCGAAGAGCAAAAATCTAAAGTCAGATCAGCCTGGGTTTGAATGCCAGTTCTGCCACTCCCCGGCCTGGTGGCCCTCAGCACACGTGAGATGAGGTCACACCTCTCCGGCCGGGCTGCCGTGAGCCTCACAGGTGATCGTGCGTGGAAGGGCTTAGCCCAGCCCCTGGAACGTCCAGGCACTCAGCAACGGTACCACCACTGGGAGAACATTACTGATGCCGTGTGGGCCGGTTCTCCTCAGGACAGCCGCTTCTCTAGAAAAGCTGCTCACTAGGACACCATGCTTCCAGGGAAAAGCGCTCAGAGTTAGGTGTGAAGAAGGAAGGATATTGGCCCCATCCTGTATCCACCTGGCTGAGTGACCTGGTGATACTCCACCTCTATTGGGCTTGTTTTCCTCATTAAAAGGAGGGTTTTTAAATATCTTTTTCTCATCATAATAAGGATGATTCAAAATAATTTCTTAAAGATGTAAGAACACGCTTTATGGAAGGTTAAGTGGAATAAAAGCAGGTATACACAAAGTTGAAGTAAAGGGCGTGGAAATGCTTTAGGAACCCTTGAAGTACTCGAGATGTAGAGCTGAATCTGGAAGCATGAATGCAGGCCGAGGCTCTCCTGGGGCCTGGGCAGAGGGTCCCCAGGAGGACCTCCATAGTGCTGGGTGGGGCCGAGCAGACTGATCCTCCAGAAGCCCAGGGACATCCCAGCTGGCAGGCCAGTGGCCCTTCTCTCCACAGCCCTGTCAGTCATTGACAAGGGGACAGGTGCAGCCAGGCCTGGCAGCCTCCCGGACCCACTGAGACAGAAGATTCCCTTTCAGCCCTGAGAAGGGGTGGGGGGATGGTGAGGGAGGTCACAGTAGAGAGTTCTAGCATCAAAGGCTCTGCAGCATGGTGGCAAGAAGGCTGGACTCAGTGTCAGGAGACATGCACTCAGCTGTCATGCCCGATGCTCCTTCCTGTGCCTCAGTTTCCTCACCCACAAAATAGGGAGGCTAACTAGATCCCTTATGCATTTAACCTTCCATGGTTTATGAGTCAGAGGGACCAAGGGACATCCAAGGAGCCCCATGAGAAGCTAGTAAAGCCACACGCCCCCAGCTCCAGCGTTCGTCCCATTACCCTCTCATTCGCCTGGGTTGGAACGCCAGCTGAGCCACTTTCCAGCTGCGTGGCACTCAGAACATGTGAGATGGGGTCACACCTCCCCTGCGGGGTGGCGTAGGCATTAATTAATGGTAAAAGACCAAGAACCTGGCTCAAACAGCGACCTGTGTGATTTGAAGCTAGACGTTAAAAGGACTCCCTAACTACCGTCGACCCCTGGAACATCAGCACCCACCTCGCTCCCCACCCCAAGTGCCTGCTGGGGTCAAGCACGCATCACTATGCGATGAGTGAAGCAGGACCTGGAGACTACGCCTACCTGTCTCAGAAGGGCTGTCCCCATGCTGGAATGTGTCAACACGTCTTCCAATTTTTTTTTTAAGAGAAGCCAGACATCCAGAATTTTGTGTAAAATCTCCCAGTGTTTGAATACTGGCAACTAAACTCATAATCTTTAAAATACCGTGTCAGCCAAACAAAACACATCTGTGGGCCAAATGCTGCCCACGGGCTGCCAGTTGGAGACCTCCACCGCAGACACTTTTGAACAGAAGACCTTGTCCGCGAGGAGGAGGAGAGAACTGGATGGCATCCTGTACAAAAGGGCGTGGGCTGAGCTGAGAAGCTCAGACCTGGGAGGCAGGCAGGACAAGGGCTCAGAAAGACCCTTCCTCTTAGACACCCAAGCTGGACACTGGTTTCGGCTGGAGCCTCCCCAGGGTAAACAGAGAGAACTCGGCAAGCCGGAAGAAATGAAATTCAGACCTCAGAGGGGAAATCTCCCGGAAAGTGAAGCGAGGGAAAAATGACTTTCTGTGTCTTAAGGGCGGGAGGTGAGAGGGCAGAACCCTCCCTCAAGCTGCAGGACGAGACAAGGACCCGGCTTTCGCAAGGGGGAGACCTGCGGGCGCCCGGACAGGCCGCTTGGAGGCACGTGCGTTGCGGGAGACAGACCCCCGGGGCTGGCGGAGACCCGTGCGGGGCTCCAGCCTTGCTCACCGGTGGAAGCTGTCCACCATCTTCAGGTGGACCCGCAGGTCCTTCTTGGTGAGGTGGTCCAGCATGCGAGCATCCACCAGGCACTCCATGAAGTAGCTGCGGTACTGGGGGAGCCCCAGGCTGGGGAGCCATTCGTTCCCAATCCACTCGTGGTTCATGTCCCCATAGGCCAGGGTCTGGGGGAACAAGGTAGAGGAGCTATAGGGGAGGAAGGCAGTGCTAGCGAACCGCGGCTGGCGTATCTGCTCGAGAGGAACATCACTCCATCCTCCACGGTGGGTTATTTTCGCTAAGAAGCTGGGCGTGGTAGGAGGTGGGGGGTTTAAATGGAACTTCCTAAGATCTCAGAATGATACGGTTCCCTTCGTGGATCACTTATCTACACTAATGAACAGAAGCAACTATCCAGGCAGCAGATAATATGAAGTCCTTCCTGTCGACCCAGGAATGCATTTGCGGTATTGTGTGGCAGACCTGCCTTCCTGCTGCTCGGTCAGCCTCAAGCCCACTGTGCCCAGGGGACAGGCCAAGTTACAGAGGACCCGCAGAACAGCAAGAAAAGAGCCAATGTCACTTGGGAAACTGGCTCACGCATCTACAGGGGAGTTACGTACTGACTCGCGACGTCAAAAGCTACAGGCTGATGAATAGCGTCTGAACAGCCAGCACTCAGTTCTCTGAGGCCTGGTGTCCACTCCAGGAATTCTCCAGAACTCCTGTTTCCCAAGCACCCTCCACGCCCCCCTGACCCTCCCACCTGCTCTGGTTGTCACCTCCCGCCGACAGCAGGGACTTCCCTGACCACCTATCCTTAGAAAGACTGGGTGAACAGCAATCCTCCATCATGGTTTCCTAACCCTACTTGATTTTTTTAGGCTGAAAAACTTATCTTTGAAAATGAAACCGTTATACACACAAAAATAAATGTAGCAAACGTTTGCCGTTAAGCATAAATAAATGAAGTTAACATTGATGGACAACACCACCCGGTTGTGTCCACCTTATGCTCTCCTTCCCCGTCCTGTCCCCTGCCGCCCGTCTAGGGGTAACTGCCTGTCTAGAGTTTTCTATCATTCCCTTGCTTGAAAAACATTTTTTACAGTCCTTATAATCACCAATGCATATTTCTCTAACAAACGTATTATTAAATTTGCTTGTTTTTGAGTTTTAGTATAAAATTCTATGACTCTTTTGGGACTTAGACTTTTCACTTGACGTTGTATTTGTAAAATTCATCCATCTCCCCTGCTGTTTTACTGTGTGAATGTACACGACGATCTGTCCAGGCCCTGGTTTCTGGCTTTCCCTGTGCTGTTTCACGGCACGTGGATCCGTGTGACACAGTGCTCACTGATGGGTTCACGCGCTTAGGGTCTATCTCTCTCCTAGAATATAAGTTCTGTGGGGCTTAGTTTGTCCACTTCTGTATCCAGAGAGCTTAGAAAGGCCCCTGATACCTAGCGGCTGCTCAATAAATATTTGCCCACTGAGTGAATGAGTAAAAGGCCTTTGCCCAGCTCACGGCTGTGCCCTCTGAAAGGGATGGGGTGAAGAAAAGGGTTGGTACCAATCTCAGTCTCATGGTTCCTGGGAAGAGAGGGGAAGATGCAGGCATGCTGGGGGCCTCCAAGGCTCCCCACCTGCCATCCTGAGAAACCAGAAGCTAGAGGGCAATGAGGAGGGAGGGTGCTTTAGCGGCAGGAGAAAACCTGTCCAGGGCTTTTCATGTGAAGAGGGACATAAATAGACTGGGACTCAGGGCGTCCTGTCAGGCAGACAGCCTGTTGGGAAAAATCTGTCCTGAACTCCTGGGAGGTGGCTCTGGACAGGGGAGGGGGTCTTACCTGAGCCCAGCTGCCCTCCTCACTGTCCTAGCGGGAACGATGTGCAGCGTGTCAGGGGAAACAGGCAAAGTCAAGAAACCTGGAAGCGTCCACCCCAGGCCCCATCGAGAAGAGGGAGCAGACGCACCAGTGGCTAGGAGGGTGACTAGGGAGAGCTTGTTGGGAGGACCAAGCGAGAACACAAGGCTGGCACATGTGCCGGTGTTTGCAGTGAGGGGGGAGCGAATGTGTGTGTGGCAAAAACACGTTTCCACACCTCTCCAGCTTGGCTCGCAGCCCCGCAAGGGGCCAGGCTGTCCCACTCCCCGTCCCTCCACCAAGGACCAGCACAAGGGAAAGGACTCCGGCTTCAGGCCCACAGCAGGGCAGACCGCTCCCATGGCCAGCTCTTCCCCACTGGCCTTGGAGAGCCCCCCAGAGATGGATCCCCCGACACATGCCAACTCTTCCCATTCCCACCTCTTTCTCCCAACCCGCCACCCTGAGAACAGAACCCGACATACGTCAGGGATACCAATCTCGTATTAGATTGACCGCAACCCCCTCTGACTCCCCAAACCTTCCCCTCATCCTCATGGGGGTCATCAGCCCTCAGCCCAGGCCCAGGGCCCAGGGCCAGACTCACTGTTTTAGTGGGTGTTGCCAGAGTTTCCATCTCTTCATGGGTGACCCAGACATTTCCGGAAGACTGCAGGCAGAGAGGAAACCTATCTGGTCCCACGTGTGGGTGCCCGAAATCCCCTTGAGGCCGGGAACCCCCAGGGCAAGGACATACATCCCTTCCCCTGAGTCCTCCCACAGGCCCAGCCCCGAGCCCTGCATACTGTCTGGCTCAGAGCAACTCCCTCTATGACTGTATCCGCACTGCTCAACACAGTGTCTGGGACCAAGAAATGCTCAACGGATGTTTCCTGAAGGAATATGAATGAATGGGGCAGATCTGGAAAGCCGGCTGATGCCAATCGAAGAGACAGCTAGTATTAGCCTGAGGGTCCATGGAATAGTCTGTGTTCTTGTGGAGAGGTTGGAGGACCAGGAAAGAATTCACAAATGCCCTATCCCCTCTGCCTCCCTGAATCTGGCAACAACACAGAACCCCAGAAGCCCCGTCCTGGAAACTCTGCCCGGAGATGTGTGGTTGTTGGCACAGTAGGGCAGAGAACCAGGCTGCTGGGATCCTCCTGGAATCAACGTCAGCCCCTCCTGGAGACCAGGTGGAGCCCCGAGGGGACCGGAAGGGGCAGGAATCAAGTTACTAGCTTCCCAAAGACCAACGGGAAACTTTCCAAATACTACTCCAGGGCTGTCCAAAAACATCCTGGGTGAGGGAGAGGCCACTCACAGTCCTGGAGGTGGGCGGGGCGGAGGGGCTGGTCAGCGACACCATCTCCTGGATGGCCAGCCGGAGCTTGAGCCGGTGCAGGGCATTGCTGATGCCAATCTCCCGTTGGATCTCTGTGTCCGACAGGGCCGACATGATGGCACCGCTCTTGACGTTGGCCCGGCAGGCGGCCACGTACCAAGCAGGCATCCCCACCCAGAGCTGCAGATACGGGCACAGGGGGTAAATTCAGCTCCTTCCCCCAAGATCTGGGCCCTGCTGCCACGAGCTTGACCACACCAAGGGGGTAGGGCCAGGCCTCCTCCGCGGACTCAAAGGAGCAAACGCAGAGCAGAAGAACTTAGAAACGTGGAGACGACCATCCCCAAATGCCTCTCTTCCCCATTTTACAGATGGAAAGTCTGAGGCCTGAGAATGTGAGGAGATTTTCCCAACATCGTATGGGTGATTAGCTCCTGGGGACGGCCTATGGGAAGAGTCAAATTGCCTGTGGAAGCCTATGGCTCGGTGACCCTTAGCGCCCCTTGTCCAAACCCACCTACCTGCGAGGCAACAGCAGTAAATGGCTTCAGTTCTGCCCTCCAAGGTAACTGGAAGGGAGCGGGGCTAAATTCTAGGTGTGGCATATGTGCACTTGGCAGGGGAGAGACGGGATGGGAAAATTCTAGGGACACCACCCCTCTACCTACAGAGAAATCCTTGTCCCGTCCCACGTACCCTTCCCACCGGTCCTCTGAGTAGACTTCCTTTGCCCAGACTTACCTCCAGCCAGGAGACCACAGTAGGGCCATCCCACTGGGCAAAGGGCATTCCTTTCCTGCGGGCATCTTCAAGCAGCTGGTGTCTTGTGGGAAGAGGAACAATAGACTCACTAGTCTTTCCCTGTCTCTCAACCATACTTATTCCTGAGACCATGGCTGTGCTGAGTGGGACTCCCACAACCCTACTCCCCACCACGGGACTGTCATCCCTGCTCCACGCCTGAAGCAGTATGATGCCAAGACATGGGGGGAGGAAGTCCCCTCCATCCCCACATGGCAAGGGGAGGCTCTTCCTTGTTTGCACAGGGCCTGACCCATAGGCATTGTGGTCTGCTCTGCGAGAGACCCACAGGGCCAGGGTCACTCTCCCCCCGCCCCCCCCCCCCCCATCCTCCTTCCCCGGGCATGTTGTCCTAAGAACCACCTCCCAGCCCCTGATGTGCCCGTGTGGACCAGGCCAACTCAGTTCAGAAAGGGCCTTGCCACGCTCTGGCTGTCTGGACTCAGTCCCATGACAGGCCAAGTGGGTGAAGGGTTGGGTACCATCCTGGCAGAACCTGGCCTGTGGCTCTTACTTCTTCTTCAGCCGCCGGTCCTTCTCTGCCTGGGTCCCCAGCTTGGCAGGTACCATGGGCTCCTGCAGACCAAGCTCGGAGTCTGTCAGCATAACTGGAAGGGAAGATGTGGCATGTCAGCCAGTCCCTCTCCTTCTCCTCCCTTGGCCTGGGCCAGGATGGGGGAGCAGACCAGCAGATGTATAACAACCTCAGTGTATAACAACCCCGGAGGCCTGACGGGACCATCCACTATTCCTGGAGCCTCTGCCCAATGTCCCTACATCCAGGCAGCCCCACAGTGGCCATCAAATGGGTCACCCAGCCCAGACTGTCTGCCCTGGGAGCCTCAGCCCTGGAGGCGTTTTCCAGCCCAATGGACCAAAGTTGCCACACCCTTACACCAGCAAAATCCTAGACAGAACTTGTCCCTCCTCCAAACCGAGGTGCAAAGGAAACCCCGAGAGCCAGCCATAAGGCGGGCTACGGGCTCAGAGGATTATCCTCATCTAGTTGGGGCGGGGAAATGGGCACACTAAGAGATATGCCTCTCGGCCTCTTTCTCAGGGGCACACTTGCACAAACCACAAAGGGGAACATTCCAGCTCTGTCTTCTTCTATAAGGATCTCCTGAACAGATGCCAAAACCCACAGAGTTCACGGCGGGGGCAACATCTTAGAATTCATGAAGTTCTGGTCACTCCATACAGCACAGATAGCAGTAGGTGTGGATAATCCAGAAAACGAGGTGAGATGCTGTCTTAGATGCCACTGGGGCGCAGGGAGCGTAGAAAACCATGAGACTTCGCACAGATCAGACTTTCTCGGCTCCCTCCCAGCCCCATCTGTGGTCAGCTCCACGACTCCCTGCACCCCTGTGGGCTGGGGGCAGGGTGCTCCACCTCAATCCCCTCCCAGGGGACAGGTGCCCACCTTTCCTCCTCTTCCTCCTCCTCCTCCTCTTCCTCCTCCTCCTCCTCCTCCTCCTCCTCCTCCTCACCCAGCTAGCTATGTTCTGATTCACACCTTCCCTGAGGTGCAAGGTCTAATTATGCCTTTGGGTTCAAACGTTCCTTTCTTCCTTTCTTCTAGTTGATCGGGTCCCCCTGCACGCAAATGTCAATGCTCCCAAGTCCCCCTGCACACAATTGTCAATGCTCCCGTGGCGTTGAGGGAACTTCTCAAGGCCCTTATGAGCTGGCCCCAGCCTAGGATCCAAAGCCATCTCCTCCACTCCTCCCACCCCTTTCTTCCCACTTTGAAAAGACTCCTTTGCAAACAAAGCTCTTGCACCCAGAAGCTGCCTTTCCCAGATCCCCGGTTCCCTCACATACAACTCTTCTTAGCTGGGCTAATTCCTACTCCGCCTTCAAGCTTCAGCCCAGCTGTTACCTAGCAGAGGAAGCCACTGCTGGCATCCCTACCACTCCATGGCTGAGTTCTGAGTTCCAGAAGCACCCTAAGCATATCGCTATCATTACACTATTTTGGAATCTCTCTTTATTATTTCCTTTCCACTAGACACTGAGCTCCTTGAAGGAATGGCCTACTGCTCCAACACCCAACACTAAGCCTTGTATATAGCAGTTAATAAATGTCTGTTGAAAAAAATGATTGAAAAGATGACAGAAAGGAGAGGGGGCGGGAAGAAGCAAAGGAAGATAGCTGACATTTATTGTGTACCTACCATGTGCCAAGCATGTACGAGAACTTTTTATATTAGCACAGAGGTAGTAATGCTCTTTCCCAAGCGTTTACGCGAATATAAGGTCTACGAAGCCATAATGAGGCATTACGATACGTTGCGTCCGAGGGTCAGGTATACTAGAAATAAGTTCTAATCACGAACTGACTCTCCTAAAGAAAGAACCAAGAAATTCTTCCCGAAGGCCCTGAGAACACCCGAAAACCTCCAAACTGAAAGAAACCTCAGAGGGCCAATCTCTCGCTCCAGACAGAAATACCTTCCACATCGCTCCAAATAAATACCTCCCTCCCTGCAGCCTGGAGCTTCTGTGGCAGGAGCTAGCACCTCCCGAGGCAGCCCGGGGCTCTCACGGAACAGATCTCACGGAAAACCGCTGCTCTCTGGAGCCGAAATCTGCCTGGCTGTGCCTTCCACCCACTGGCCCCTGGGAGGCAGGGGGAGAAGGCTGGATCTGAGTACACCCTCCTGCTCTGGCCCCCCTACTTGCACCCGTTCGCTAGGAAGCGGACAGAAACCATGGCCCGTGGCTCCATCTCGGCTCAGCTGGATCAGCCGGCCCTTCTCCTTCTTCCCGAACAGGCGGCCGATGGACGACTTGATGCCCTTGCGCTTGGCACCCTTGTGCAAGGAGTCCTGGCTGCTGTTGCTGCTGCTGGGGTTGCTGCCCTGATCCTCCAAAGCACTACAGGATGACAGCCAGGAGCGGGTGGAATGAAAAGAAACATACTTTAATTATAGCAGGAGTCAGGGACGTTAGACCTCAGGAAGAACTTAACAGGAGGTTGGAGGTGGGGGGCGGGTATGATCAGAGCAGGTGACCAAAGGAGATGTGGGAATGTCCTTCCATGATGGCATTTCAAAGAGAAGTGAGATGTTCTCTTGAAACAAGAAGGACATGACCATGGCGGTAGGGAGACTCAAGGTGGGGCCCGTGCCACTTACCTTTTGCCTTCTTCCTGGCTCAGGGCTGGGTGGCCAAGCTTCTCTAGCCGCAGCGTCCTGGGTGAGGAAGGAGGAGAAGTCTCACATTTTATGGTGGCTTTATCCTCCCGGTTCTCTTCCCGAGACACTGGCGACTGAACAGACAGTGAAGCCGTCAGGGGATAGAGGGAGAGATCTGGGGCCTGCCTACCCAGCCCGGACAAGGCAGAGGAGCTTGGAGAAACGCAATGGGAAGGCCTGGGGCCTCTCTGAGCCCAGACTCAGACTCAGGGGCCCAGGGGAGAGAGGCCGAAAGGGAAGGGCCTGGGAGAATTAACCCGTTAGTACCTGGGTCCTCAGGCAGCACTCACCAGCAGCTTCCTCCTATGCTTTCTTAAGTCACTGGGCTGGAAGAGAGAGTGAAGGGTGAGCTCAGAATCACCCTCTGGATGCCTGAAAGTCAACCCCAAGGGGAACCTGGTGGTCTTAGGATGAGAAGATAGGATTCAGTGCCTCACACAGGCCTTGAGAGAATACGAGGGCAGAAAAAAAGCTGGCCTGATGAAATCAGTCAGGGCCACCTCTGGAAGAAAGGGAGAGGTATGGGCAGGGGGTGAGTTTCTTACGCATTCTGTGCTTATCCAAGAGAGAGGGCTCAGGAAGACATGACAGGCCCTTTCCAAACCCAGAAGGACATGTTGGTGGCCTGACATGCCGGGGTCTGCACACATCATGGGAAGAAGATGCCAGCCCCAACTGAGAGGGAGGGAGCCCTCCCCTGCCTTAGCAGCTCCCCTCGGCCAGCCCCCAACGCAGAGCCCGGCCATGACAGGGCCGCTCATCAACTGCCCCAAGACTCTCACCAGGGTCATGACCCCCATGCGGTCCAGGTCCTGGGCTGCACTGCGGGAGGTGAGCTTGGGTGTGGAGCGGCCGCTGAGCGGAGGGGACGCGCTGGCCAGGGACAGGGCGGTCAGAGAGGTGGGGATAGAACCGCGTTTGCGCAGCTGGGTCAGGTTTAGGGCCTCCATGCTGCCGCTGGTCACTCGAGTCTCAATCTCCTCGGCACGGAGCTCTGTGGACTCCTTCTCTTCCTGGATCATCCTGGGGAAACCAGACCCTGCCTGAGTTGGCCCCTCTCGAGGCCCAGCAGGAGGCCGGTGGCGGCAGCGTCCGCGCTCACCACCCTGGGACCCCGGGCAGAAGGCCATGCCTGGGGTGGGGGAGCCACGCTGGGTCTGGCATGGCCTCGCCGACACAGCCGGCCCTGCCCACCGCAGCTCAGAAACATCGCTCTCTCTCTCCCTCTCTCTGCGTCTCTCGTCAGCTGGCCTCACGTAACAAAACTCCCCAGGCTACCAAAAGAAGCTGTGGGAAAAGGAGGCATGTAGTCAGTGGCATACAAGCCATCCTGGGAGGCAGAATTCTTGACCTACCACTAACTATGCGGGCAACCCTGAGTCAGGCTCTCCGGCCTCAGTTTCCCCATATCCCCAACGCCAGGAGGGGTCCGAGCCAGCAGTTCCCAAACCCAGGTCCTTCCCCAAACCCGTTGTCCTTTAACTGACAATGACCCCGAAGGAGTTTTCCCTGTTAGACAGAAAAATGAGAAAACCGTTGACCATGGGAGGGGGGAGGGCCGGGGGAGGGGGAGCGCGTGCGCACTCTCACACACGCGCGCTGACGTAACATGCCTTCGGTCCTCCGGGAGCAGGGCTTGTCTTTATCCTGAGAGTGTCTTCTGACACTAGGGAATGTTAAAATGCCCTTTCTTTTGTACAATAGTTGTGATAGGAAACAGCAGCTACCATTCCCGATTGCCTTTGCAGAATAAAAGTTGGAGGCCTGTGTGTGTGTGTGTGTGTGTGTGTGTGTGTGTTATGATGTTTTCCTTTTAACTGGTCTGTGAAATCCAAAAGTGTGGGAACCACGGAACCAGATGCCCCTGATAGCCCTCTAAAGCTCTGATGCACTCGGGCTCAGATTCTCCCTTGCCGTTGGTGATAAACATTAATAGCCCCCCTACAAAGGCAGGGTAAAGTACAGGGCTTGGTAACTTTCCCCGCCACTGGTTTCCGCTTGATGTCTTGTTAGGGATGGAAGACATGCTACAGTGCACTGAGTGTAGACCTGAGTTTGAATCCTGGTTCTGCCACTTACTCTGTGGCTTTGGGCAAATCACTTAACCTGTCTGGTTTCCGTTCCCTTGTCTGTAACATGGAAACAATGCTGCTTCCCCCAGAGGCTAGTGAGACTGACAGCAGCATTTATACAAAGCTCTCACCCTGAGGTGACCTCAGTAAGTGCGAGCTAGGCTCTTAGTGATGACATTTAGCTGCAGGAACACAGCCTCCCAAGCCCTAGGAGGGGAAATGAAGTCTGAGAAGTCAGTCTGAGACCCCACCCCTCTCCGTCCAGTAGTGGGCCTGAGACCACCCCCCACCCCCCCCCACACACACACACAGAGTCCCTAGACCAAGCACTCGAAGGTGCAGCTGTTGGAGACAAGCAAATACATGAAGAATTTTTCCTGCAGTGCCCAAACCCAAAGGGGCCCCTGCCCTTCAAGGTACCTCCCAGACCCTCCACCCCTGCCCTAACCTGATCTCCTCGTTGATGGCATCCAGCTGCTCCTGGAGCATCATGGCCAGGGTCTGGGCGTCCGAGTGGCCGCTGGGAGAGACAACATCCACGGAGCCCACCAGACCCCCTGGCTCATCCTCATCCACGTCGGAGATCTCAGGGTCGCTGTCAAAGGCAGGGGTGGCTGTGGGCGCCAGCACCCCAGGCAGTGGAGAGGGCTCCCAGCCCTTAGCAAAGGAGGGGAGAAGGGTAGTAATAAGACACAACAGACGGGCTGAGGAGCAGGACCCTCCCCACCTGTACCAGCAGCCCTGGCATCTCCGGGGGACTTGTTAGAAGTGCAAAATCTCGGGCCCCGCCCCCGGCCTTCAAGATTCAGAGTCTGCATTTTAACCAGATTCCCAGGTGATTTATGTGCCTGTTAAAGTCCAAGACGTAATACTTCCAATTCAAGGAGCCAGAGTGGCAGAGTGGTTAGGCACAGATTCCAGAGAGAGACTGCCTTGCTTTGAAACCTGCCGGGCAACTGTGGTAAAGCTACGTCACCTCTCTGTGCCTCAGTTTCTTCGTCTGTACCACAGGGATAGTAGCAGAACCTACTTTGCAAGTAATTATGAGAACTGAGCGAGGAAACGCATGTGAGGCACTTAGCACGGTGTCTGACACAAAGTAAGCACCGTATGTAGGCTGTCCCTTTCTATTAACACAAACTCTCCAAGAGTAACCAGACCCAGGCGACAAGAGAAACCAAGCAGTCCTGACTGCCTTGTGTCTCCCAGAGTTTCAGCACATCACAGGGCCCTGTAGTCAACCCTGAGAGGTGGTGGCTTCCCAGAAGGCACCTGCAGACCTCGTCGGTGGACAAAGGCGTGGAAGAAGAAAGAGCACAGAACTGAATGAGTCAGAAGAGCAGGGGAAGAAAAGGAAAGGGATCAGAGACAGGGAGGTGCCCTAACCCCATCCTCTGGGACCCAACCCCCCAAGGTTCCCTTAGGGTTCCTTTCTAGCTCCTGGGCACCTGCTGTGTTCTTAAAAACAGGAAGAGCAAAGGGTAAGGGGAGAGAGAATGAGAAGCCTTCGTTCAGGCTGCGATTCCATCAGACTAGGGCTTTCCTAAGGGCAGAGATGAACCTTCCCCTATCAGGCTAGGAGTTCCCCCTTCTCTACATGTATGTTGTAGTGCCTCAGCGCATGTAGAGGGCCCGGGCTCAAGACAAAGCATGCTTAACCATTATGGGGTTAAAACAGAATCACATTGCCCCCCCCAAAAAAGAGGAAGTTGGTCCTTTTCTGCCCCTATCTTTCTTGTTCCCTCCTCCCGCCCCAGTGCCCCAGGCAGTCTCAGCATGAACTTGAAGCTGCTTCTCAGAAAACTTCAGGTGCCATCCCCAGGGCCAGTTAACCTGCCATCCCTCCCTCGACTCCCCCACAAACCACAGCTTTTGTTCCAGAAAGCTTGCCAATTCCGTCTGGCCCCTGCATCTCCCACCCCGACCACTAGAAAACACACGCCTGCACGCCCAGGCACACGTGCACACACTTCAGTGGGGCCTCAGGGACTGGCTGGCCGCCCGCCAGCCCCTACCGCTTGCCCACCAGGAGGCCAAAGTGAGGGGGCACAGCTGTTGCAGCTGACAGTGGCCCCAACCCCGGCTGCAGCTGTTGTCCACACGGGGGGACGGGAGGGGGAGGATTTGCACCGCACGCCAGCCGTCTGTGAAACTGGAGCCAGGCACGCGGCTGAACTGACCCCAAGCTCCCTGGGGAGACCCCTCCACACTCACCCCTCCACCCCTCACCTTGGCAGACTCCTCCCGCAGTGCCGAGTAGCGGCGATGCAGACCTGAGGGCGCGTGGGTGGCTGTGCTCAGGGAGAACCGCACGTCCGCTGCACTGCCCATATGCGACCTTGAGTGTTCAGGGGAAGAAAAGGCCAGCCCTGAAGACTGAGTGCCCCGGCTCACACCCGCTAGGTCCAAAGGGTTAAAGGATCTTCAGTTTGGCGAAGAGAAGTCTTAGCAGGCATAGAGCTATTGTAAATGGTTTAAGGACTGCCATGTAAACAAGATTCGATTTATTCTCTGGTGCCCCAGGGATCAGAATGGTCCAGGGGAGAAAGTTCTAGGGAGGCAGCTTTCCATTTAACATAAGAAGCATCTTGGGTGCACCTGGGTGGCTCAGTCAGTTAAGCGTCCGACTTAGGCTCAGGTCATGATCTCACAGTTTGTGAGATCTCCACAGCTCAGAGCCTGGAGCCTGCTTCGGATTCTGTGTCTCCCACTCTCTGTGCCCCTCCCCGGCTCACGCTCTGCCTCTCTCTCTCTCTCTCTCTCTCTCAAAAATAAATGAACATTCAAAAAACTTTTTTTAAAGAAAACATAAGAAGCACCTACGAATGGTAAAATTTGGCTTGGGATGCATCTGGTGGCTTTAGAAAAGCTGTCTCTGTCTCTCTCTCTCAAAAATTAACATTTTTTAAAAAAACGTTTAAGGTGGAGTGGGGTGGGGCGCCTGGGTGGCTCCGCTGGTTAAGCGTCTGACTTCAGCTCAGGTCACAATATCACAGTTTGTTCAAGCCCTGCATCGGGCTCTGTGCTATCAGTGCAGAGTCCTCTTGGGATCCTCTGTCTCCCTCTCTCTCTGCCCCTCCCCCGCTCATTCCCACACAGGCTATCTCTCAAACATAAATAAACATTAAACAAAAATTTAAAAAGCTGAGCTCTCCATCAACGAGTTAGTCAAGCAGCAGCTCTCGGGCCCTGACAAGAATGGTGTGGGAGAGCTCCCGGCATTGAGAGACATTGGAAGGAAGGATCTCTAAAACTCCTTTTAATCCTGAGGGCTTTTGTTTCTTCGCTTTCTCCTAAGCAACATTCCTTGGGTTTCCCCATAATCTGGAAGAGTCCCTAGCCAAAATTCAACCCAGGCATATTTCCTACCCCCAGGAAACTTCAGGACACCCTGATACCGTATCAGAGACATGGGCTAGAGGTGCCCCAAAGGTCGATTTCAACTCTGAGATTTTAGAATCCCAGTTATGATGCTCTGGAATGTCTGGAAGCCTTCCCTAGTGACACTTCTTCCCTATGCCTTCCCAATTTGGAAGCCTTGAGGGGGCCCAGGGCAAAGGGACAGGGCAAGCCTACAGCGGATTGTACAAGGTAGCTGCAGGGAAAAGGGAGTTTCTGCTTATCTCCCTCTCCTCCCCTGCAGTTCAGTCCCGATTCCATGATGGGTCCTGTATTTCTACGGTCAAAGCCAAGAATTCCCAACCATTAAGGAAAGCAAGCAGTGGCAAATGGCTTGATATACTCTAAGTCATGTCTTATTTATGGGGGGGGGGGGGTCTCTTCTGAGAAACCTATGGGAAGGAAGAGGTCAGAGAAATCCCACCTACTATTTCCTGTTTCCACTCCCTGCTTCTCTCCATACTCCTCTCTTATACAACAATTTCTGATGACCTTGAAGATGGTACTTACATCTCTACTATTCCAGACAGCCACAGGCTTCTCTTCTTCAAATTCAACGTCCCTTTCCCTAACTCAAACCCTACCCCTCCACACATATATATGCATGTACCCATTTCCTTCAGGGAAGCTGATCCCCATCTCCCTGATATGGCAAGAGCACGACCAAAGGGAACCTCTGAGACTCTCTTCTGTGACACTTTGGTTTGGAAAGAAAACAGCCAGGAGCCATGAACCTCAAGTGGCATCACCTACTAGTATCTTCAGTCTTCACCTTGCCTCTCTGGGCAGAGAAGTAGGGTCAGGATTGAGGTCTGAGTTCAATGTCAATGACTTCGCAAAATGGGGGGGGGGGGGGGGGGGATCCAGTAGTTCCCTAAAACATGGCCCTAATTCAAACATTAGGTAGAAAGCTCCACTCACCATCTCTTCAAATGTTTTTGGAAAAAGGGATGTCACCAACCGTGGACATGGCATCTCAACTTCCAACAGTAAGGAAGTCCTTAATGCCTCATTTCAGTCTCTCATGCTGCCTTTCTGCCCCCTGCTTGCTACCTGAACCTAGGCGGTCCTTAACTCTCAAACAACAATCCTCCAGAGCCCTAAAGATGGTGACTCAAAAGAACTAGAATGAACCAGATATTCGCCATGAGCAAGTCCCGTGGGACATGGGTGAGCATGTAACTCAGCAGACCCCTTGCAAGGGCATCATGCCCTCTGTCAAGGAAAACAGCATGGCCTGTGTCCCATGGCACTGGGGAAGGAGCATCCTGTCCTTACCTGCCTCTCAGCATCCCTCAGCTCAGAGGACAGGTGCTCCTTCTAAGCTGCCCAAGTGAGCTAGGTGACTTTGACCAAGTTCTTGGAGCCTCAGTGTCCCACCCTGGATAGGAGGAGGACCCCTGAGGTCCTGGGCGGTCTTTTGGTGGGAGGAAGTCTCCTTCCTCAGGGTCCATCCAGGACCCCATCCCAGCACGCCCAGCCTCCCGCGCTCCAGTACCTGGAGTGGATGCCATCCACAAACGGCCCCCCTCGACCCTTCAGCTGGTCCACCTCTTGGCGCAGCTTCTCAATCTCTTCAGACAGGCGGCCCTGTGCCAGGCAGACCCGGGGTGGGGGTGGGACCAGGGAGGGGCGGAGAGGGGAGAGAGGGACAGAGAGGACAGCAGAGTTGGGGAGAAGCAGAAGAATGTACTGCAAAGTCCAAAGCCAGGGGCCCCCGGCCAGGCTCACAGATGACACCAAGAGAAGAGGTCCAACTGGAAAGGGAGCAGAAAGGTCGGCAGTGGGCAAGCAGAGGGGCAGGGCCGGAAGAGGGTTTGTCTTGGGTAAGAATTCTACCGGAATAGGCCTGCTGAGCCCTCACCACCACACAAACGCATGGCAATGGAGGCTGGGCAGCAGAGGGGCGCCCGGTGCCCGCCCAGACCTCACAGACGTTGCTGAGGCAGGCACAGTGCCTAATCCTCCCAGAATCACCAGACTCCTGCCTTACCAGGTTTGAGGGCCCCACCAAATCTTTCCCTGGGCCCTGCCTCTCTGCTGCCCACCCTATGCCCTATGCTTATGGCCTCCGTTTCTTCTTTACATGTGGGTGGTGATGCACCCACCGTGACGGGCTCTAGCGAGGATCAGTGAAATAACGTCTGTGCCGGGACTAGCGTGGTGCTGGCTGTCAGAGCAGCTGCATGAAACACAGGCGTGTTCCTCACCGCAAGCCCGGCCCTCCCAGGCTGGCGGGGCTGGCCGGCAGCTGGGTACCTTGTGATGGTGCTGCTCCTCGATCTGCCGCTGGGAGCTCTCCAGCTCCTGGATCAACGTGTTCTGGGGGAGAAGAGCTGCGAGCTAGGGACTCCGCCCCGCACCTTCCCCCCCCCCGCCCCCCCCCCGGCCCGCCCCGGGCGGCCCCCCCCCCCCCCGCGCCCCGTCACCCTTCCCGCTCCTCCTTTCCCCAGCCCCCCTGGGGTCAGTCCACTAGTGTCTGCGGAATGGACACGCCCCGCCCCTAACCCTCTCACATCCTGATTCCTCCCGTCTGGGCCCGCCCGGCTCCACCCACACCCACCCCTCGCCCCGCCCTGGCAGCCCCGCCCACCCGGGCCGGGGTCCCACCTCACCTTCTCCTCCAGGGCCGCCATTCGCTCCTTGAGGTGCAGCTGCAGTCTCTCGTTGGACTCGCTGAGCAGCCGGTCGACGGTGTCTGACAGCCGCTTGTTGTGGTCCTCATTCATCTTCTCCCGCTGGCGCACCTGCAAAGCCAGCACACCTGGCACCAGGTCACCCCAGGCCCTTCCCGGGGAGCCATCCATTCCCCCCCAGTTCCAGCCCACTCACCTGACCACCTCCTCTGCCCCTCTATGGCTCTGTCCCTGGCCAGGCCCCTCCCAGCTCCCACCATCCTGGGAGGCTGCCCTGGGGACAGGGAGGGGGACCGAGAGCCCCTGCCCGGTGCCCTCACCCTTGCCAGCTCCTGGTTCTTCTCCTCCAGCTGCCCCTCCAGCTGCCGCAGGTGTTCCTCAATGTTGCCATGCCTTTCTTCAGCCTGGAAGCAGGGATGGGTCAGTGCAGCCTGCTGAGGCCCCCACATCCCCCAGTGCCAGGGTGCCCTTGGGGGATCAGGGCCTCAGTACCAACGAAGCCTAGCCCTCGACCTCTCACCTCGGAGCAGAACTGCCATCACCACTGCCCTTCTCCCCAAGTACTCTCTACCCCCTGCCAGATGTTTTCCCCACCCCATTCTTCCTGCTCAGGGCCTGCCTTAAAACATCCCAGGGGCACCTGGGTGGCTCAGTCGGTTAAACGTCCGACTCTCGGTTTTGGCTCAGGTCATGATCTCATGGTTTGGGCCCCACATCAGGCTCTGCACTGACAGTGAGGAGCCTGCTTGGGATTCTCTCTCTCTCTCTCTCTCTCTCGCTCTCTCTCTCTCTCTGCCCCTCCCACATTCATATTCACTGTCTCGCCCGCTCTCTCTCAAAATAAATAAATAAACTTAAAAATCCCAGAGCTGGCAGCCCAATGGACTGTAACTTCTCTCCATGCTCCCAGAGAAAACTCCACCGGAAAACATGAGCTACCATAAATCTGTATGCCTCCAGGCAGATGCACCTGCACTTAAGAGTATGGACGCAAGCCAGACTGCCTGGGTTCGAATCCCAGCTCCCTCTCTTCCCAGCTGTGTGGCCTCAGGCAAGTCATTGAACCTCTATGTGCCTTAGCTTCCTCAACTGTGAAACACGGATAACAACAGCACCTATGCCCATTGGACTACTGCAAGGACTAAATGAGATAATCCATGGCAAACACTTAGGACGCAATCAACACTCAGTAAACGCCAGCCATGGTTATCATCTTTGTAATTAAACGAGCCAAAGTAGAGTGGTCTCCCTTCCACTCATGTGTCTCCAGAGATGGAGACCCCACTGTCTCTGCTGACTAGATACTCCAGACTATCACACATCTCACAGTCAGGAAATCCTTCCTTAAAGCCCACCCCCCCGCCCCCCGCCGCCACTGAGTCATTTGAACATATTATTCAGTTCAGCCCATCCTTCCTGGCAGTTTTGGGAGATACTCAAGCTAACGGCTCAGCATCCCACATGTGACATCTTCTGCTGCACTTTAAACCCAGCACTTCATCCCTAGGAGCTAGAAAGGTCTTAGACACCACCAAGTCCAACCCCATCATCATGGAGATGATGGCATCATCAAAGAGATAACGACACTGACACCTGATTGGGGAGGGGGTGACTTTTCTCAGGTCACGGAGCCAGTTGATGGCAGAAGCAGACTTGGTCCTGGGTTTCCCCGAGGACAGCCAGGCTGCAGGTTCTCGCCGCAGCGCCCCCAAGCTGCCACCCTGCCACACTGGCCAGCCTGTGTCCTCCCAAGCTCCGGGGGCCTGATGCTTACTTCTGATTTCCTTCTCTCAGTGGGCCGGAGGGAGGATAGCGAAGGTGATCCCAAGTGAGGCCACCCCTGAAGGCATCCAGCCTGCTGCAGACACCCTTAAATTCTCTTGATTAACCCATCCCATCTATATCTGTGCATTTACCCAGCTCTTCCAGATCCTGTGATGTTCCAGCCTGCACGCCTCTTAAGAATGATTACTCCACAAAGTTTACTACCCATCAGGTACAACTCTATTGCCTTGTATTAATCCTAAAGCCGCCACCTTCAAGCAACCAGAGTTGGTCCCAGAATGCTTCAATTTGATAAACAGAGGTATACTCAGCGGCACCTGGGTGGCTGAGTCAGTTAAGCATCTGTCTTTGACTCAGGTCATAATCTCGTGGTTCGTGAGTTCAAGCCCCACATCGGGCTCTGTGCTGTCAGTACAGGGCCTGCTGCAGATCCTCTGTGCCCCCCTCTCTCTCTGTCCCTCCCCTGCTTGCACTCTCTTTCTGTCTCTCTCAAAATAAGTAAACTTTAAAAAAAAAAAGAAAAGAAAGAAAAAAGAAAAATCATCGAGTATAAAATAAAATGTTAAAAAAAAAAAAAAAGCTCGGTCTAAACTCCCACCCTCCACCCCCTCTGATCCTATCTCCTCTCGGAATTCATCTTTCCAGAGATGAAAGTCCTAATTTTTCGACTCCAGCCCCACACAAAAGGAAATATTAACACAAGAGTGTAAGTATAAACGCTCTGCATCCACGCAGTCTCATCTACTTCTCCCAGGGCTTCTCCACCCCTTCTCAGGGGACCGTCCCCTCCCTGCGGGGTGATGAGGGCAGGGATTGGTCTTCCAACCGACAGACACGGACAGTGAAGTCATGCCGTGGGAAGCTGTCTCCTGGCTCCTGGTGCCGCGTGCCTCCCGCTGTCTCCACTCACTGCCTGGCTCCATAAGAGCTCCGGGAGCGGAAAGGGAAGCAGGGGAGACCCCCGGGCCCCGGGCCCACTCGCCTTGGTGAGGGCCGCAATTCTCTGAGCCAGCTCGGCCTCCACCTCCGGCAGCGTCTCGGCCTTGCGCATGGTCTGCTGCAGCTTCTGTTCCGCCACCTCCAGCAGCTCCTGCAGGTGTCGGGCCTTCTCCTCACACTAGCACGGGGTGGGGCGGGGCGGGGCGGGGCGGGGGAGAGTTAAGAGGGGAAGCCTCCCGACCCTCTGCCCCAGCCTCAGGAGAGAGCAGGTGCCAGGCCAGAGAAGCAAAGGACAACCTTGGTTCTTGGCTGCCCAAGAGGCCTGGCTTCCCCTTTCCCAAGGTGACCGGCAGGACCCCCAAGGGCTCCTGGGCCACCAAGGGGAGGTTCCGGCATGACCACCAGGGCCTCCAGGGTCAAGTACGAGGCCTGCCCCCACCCCATCGGGAGGAGTTACCTGGCGGTGCAGGGACTCCTTATTGGCCAGCTCGTTCTCCAGTTTGTCGTTGAGGTCATGGATGGAGGTGGCCTCACGCTGAGCAGCCAGGTAGCGCTTCTCTAGTGTCGTGATTCTCTCCTCCATGTCCTCCTTCTGGGCCAGAGCCTGGGCAGGAGAGGAGGGGACAGGACGGAACGTCATCAGCTTCACCCCACCCCCATACTGTCTGCACCTCCCCACCAATACCTGGCTGGCTGTATCTTCCCCACATCGCCCTGCCAGTTGCTGACCTTGACCCATCCCTCCCGCCACTCCTCCCCACAGTGGAGCCCACCCAGTATTTAGTCTTAAACCCCCCAGCCCCGGTCCGGCCCTCCCTCCACCCCCAGGGCATCCAAGCACCTCCCCTCCCGGGTGCCCAACGCCCCCACTCAACCAGATGGGGCCGGGGGGGGGGGGGGGGGCGGGGGGCCTTGCTCACCTCCCGGAGGTCCCGCTGGTGCTTGCTGCTCAGTTCCTCCGACTTGATGAGGTCCCGGCGGGCCGTGCCCAGGTCCTCCTCAAGCTCGGCCACGGTTGCTGTCAGGGTGACCAGTCGCTCCCGGGCCTGGCTCAACTCAAAGTTCTGCTTCTCCAGGAGCTCCTGCAGCTCCTCTACCCGGCCCGTGTCATCCTCCAGGGACAGTGAGCCACCAGTCAGTCCTCAGGGCCCAGGGTATCCCACTCCCCTGGCCCACCCCAGGGATAGCACAACCAGAGCAGACCACAGCTCTGCCTCCAATTTCAGTGCGCACCACCTCCTGCTGTCTCAGACTCTTGTAACCTAGGAAGGGGCCTGACTAGGGGAACAAAGGCTCAGAGAGAGAAGGGATCTCGCCTGACACCGACACACCAGGTAGACAGCACCTAGCGATTCAAGTGGACAACGTCATTATGAGCCAGCAGCACATTGGGCGCACACACACGCTCAAGATCTATAGATTTCATTGCAGGCAGGGTGGAGGAAAGAAGGAGACAGAGGTGGCAATATTGGAGAAAGTCCCAAATTTAATTCAAGCATTTGCTCTGCTGAACTAAAGCAGGGTAGGGCCCTCACCTCCCGTCTGGCGGAAGACCTGCCCCTGCCACGCAGTTTCCCATGACCCACCTTCCGCAGGCGCTTCGGTCCCAGCTCCACGGCCCCCTCCTCTTCTGCCGCTCCATCCCGCGCCCCTGCCCCCTGCTGCAGGGCAGATACCTGCAGGGCACAGCCCCCAGGGCAGTGAGTCAAAGAGGAGAGAACTTCCTGTATGTTCCAGACCCTTCGGAGTCCCCTGCCTCCCAGCCTCGCCTTGGCTAGCGGTCTCCAGCCTTGACGGTGGGAGAAATCCAGTGCAGAACAGGTTGGGGCGGATCAGTAAACCTGCCGTGGCTTCCAGGAGCCGTCTGCAGGTGGACGGTGGGCAGGCAGCTTACCTGCTGGTGGGCACCCGCCAGCTGCTCTTCCAAGGTGGTAACGCGCTCCAGGGCCGCTCGGAGCCGCTCCCGCACCTGCCCGCGGAAAGGGGAGATGAAGGAAGAAACAGGGACCCCACTGGACTCAGGCTGGAGGAGCCTCGGCTTGATCCACCAGCTTTGGGCATGAGGCAAAGCGAGGGACCTGCCAAGAGGCAAATTTCTGAGAGGGAACCTAAGAGGAGGACCTGGAGATCAGGCCGGTGGTAGTGGTGGGTGGGGCCAGTTATGAAGCGAGAAGGCTGTTTTCCCCAAGCACAGGATGCAGAAATGGCAGAGAAGGGTCTCACAGAGGCCCCAGGGAAGTGGGCCACGCGGTGGGCCAGGCTGGGTACCTTCTCATCCAGGGCCTTGTGGTGCTCAAACAGCGACTTGAGGGCCTTCAGCACCTCCACCTCACTGGAGACCCCCGAAGGTGACTGGGCCTGGCGCTTGACCACAGTCATCCGTAGCGACCGCTCATGGCGGGACACCAGGCACTCCAGATGTTCCAGAAGCAACTGGCAGGGAGCAGGGGAGGGCAAGAGGGAGGGCTGTGAGCATGTGCCCCAGGGGCTATGAGCAGGGTCCACATGACCACCGAGTGGACAGGAGTACAGCCACGTGCACTGCTGTTAAAACACCGAAATACTTCATGTTGGTAAATACCTGCTGCCCCAGTAGAACACCTGCCCCGAGCCAGCTGGCCTGGCCTCTCTCCCAGGACCCCGACCTTCCTATGACCACCCCCATCTACAGGTAAAAAGCCTAGCACCGACAGCTGAATCATTTGATCCCAGAACACAAGACAAAAAGACGTTAGGAAGGGGCGGGGGGTATGCCTGGCCCTGGCCAAGCCAGCTCCCTTGGTCAAGGGGTCCACACACACATACACACACCAGGTCACCCACTTACCCTTGTGTTATTCCGCTCTGCTTTCAGCTCTGATATCTCTTCCTCCCTTTCTAGAAGTTGCTCCCGACACATGCTCAGCTCCCGGGTTAAGGTGGCAAATTCCTGAAAACCCCCAAGGCCTCTGAGTGCTTGGGGATTTGCCCCCTAACCGGTGTCCTGCACGCCCACGTCAATGGTGGGATCATCTCACCCGTCCCTTACTTCCAGCACCTGCCCCCAGAAAAGTCCCCATCCATCTGTATCGCGGGGCTGTAAACCGCAGCCAGCATGTGCATCCCTAGAGGGGTCCACATCTCTGCGCCCTCCATGCATTCCAAGTATGTGTTAGGGTACCAGGGACAGAGGTGGAAACAAGAGTGAGAAAGTCACCGAATCTGCTTTGCAGCCCCCTGCCCCTCCAGCCAACAGTATAACCTGATTATATCCTTCCTATTTTGTATTTCTATTTCCCCAACAACCCGATGACATCATCCTTTAGAAACAGACGGAGGGGAGTCTCCCCTTATGGTAAGGTCCCAAGATATTAGTCAAGGAAGAGAGGGGGCTTTGAAGGGAGTACCCCGGGGAGCTCCCTCCCGCCCGCTCCCCAGGGCTTTGCAAGCTGCAGGTGGCTGGTGAAATAAGGATCCATGGACAGGGGAGCAAGACAGCCTGCAGACCTGCCCAGTCCGCCACTTGGCTTTAGCACACATCCTAGGGATCCCCACTCACTTACTCCAGGGCTGCATCCCAGGGCTTGATGGCAGGGCACTTGCACTGGCCTTACTGGGTAACCATGCTCAAAGTATCCCTTTGAGGGGCCCTGTTCCCACGCTGTCAGGCCCACACACCGTGAGACACCTTTTCAACCCACCCATCTGGGTCAGGACAAGCACACAGGGGTGAGAAGCTGGCCTCACATTTCCAGGTCCATCATATCCTATTAAATTAGACATAGGGGTACCTCGGTGGCTCATTTGATTAAGCATCCGATTCTTGGCTTAGGCTCAGGTCATGATCTTCTGGTTCTTGAGTTCGAGCCCCGCATCAGGCTCCACTCTGATAGCACGGAGCCTGCTCGGGATTCTTTCTCTCTCCCTCTCTCTCTGCCCCTCCCTTGCTCATGCCCTCTCTCTCAAAAAATAAATAAATAAATACTAATAAAAACTAAAGTAGACATCACCTTATTCCAGAAAAGTTTTCAGAGAGGTGGTGCAAATTCTGTGGCTGCCCAGCATCTGGGAGTGACTGAACGATAGCTGCGGCCCTGTCCTAACCTAAAGCTTCCTTCACACACCAAGGACTCATGACGGAAGGAAAAATTCCAAAGCAGTCCCCACTGATCACTTCAGATCAGGCAACAGGGGATAAGAAGGGCTGTGGGAAGGGCAGAGAGACCCAGGGATGCCAGAGCTTGAGAAGTCTCAGACTTCTAACCCTGTTCCTGGATTAGTGCCCTTCTGTCAAGGCCATGGCCAAAGGTGGAAAGCCAGGCCTGGTGCCAGTGCTGCTCCACTCCTTAGTTTACACACACACACACACACACACACACACACACACACACACCACACACATGTACCCAGAGGCAGGACTCGGCACGCCCCCAGCCCCATGCCCTGACACCACCACCAGGGCTCTCTCCTCTCCCTTCCTGGGCTCCCCACCCCAGAACACCTGCCTCCTCCCCAACTCTAGCCCATCTGACACACTGCTGCCAGGATAATCTCCCAAAGCATGGCAATTGTCTACAACGCTGAACATAAACTTCTTACCCTGGCTTTCAAGTTTCTTTCTCATGGTTTCTTTTCATATACCCTAAGATCTGGTCAACCTGGGTCTCCTGCTACATCCAATCACCAGCAAACCATCCTAATTCCACACCTTTGCTCAATGGGCTCCCTCCCCATGGGAAGCCCAACCCTCTGTCACCACCTGATGAAATCACATGTAGCTTTCAAAGCCCGTCTCAATGGATATACCTTCTTGCAACCCTCCAGACTCCCCCGTGGAAGATTCTCTCCCTCCTCTGAAAACTGTCTGGAAGAGTGGTTAAGAGCACCATCTTAGAAGCCCATGGTTTAACCACAAATACTGTGGGCACCTACCATGTACCAGGTCCCTGGGTACATACACAAGAAACACATAATCCCTGCCCTCCTGAAGTTCCCAGTGTGCGGCTGGAATCAGATCTCAGCTCTGCCCCATTAGCTGTGTGACCCTGGACAAGTCATCTAGCCTGTTTGAACCTCCATCTCTATCTGTAAGACACAAGTAGAGGCCACCCTCATGTGTTGCTACAATGACCAAATGAGCCAACGCATGGAAAGCACTTAGCACAAGTCCACCAAAGGCGGCTACTTTTACCACCATTTCAACAACCCTTTGGAGCCCCTCTTCTCTTCCCCTGCTTGGTCTTCCCGCATTTGGGTTTTTAATCCATCTCCTTTATAGCCTGTGGGCCCCAGGGCCAGGGACTGGCTCCTTCATTCTAGGGCTTGTTCGGGGCCTCATGCACAGTCAGCGGGGACCTCTCGCGCCATTTCTTCACCAGGGCTCCATATCCCTCTTGATGAAGCATCACAAGACTCTGCCCCCCACCACTTCTGAGCTCCCAGTAGATTTCCGCAGCCCTCCTGGGTTCACCTCAGTTCTCCTCCCCACATGTGGGGAAAGAGCCTGGGGCTGAGTCAGGAGCCCTGTGGCTCCTCAGAGCTTCCTCCCCGGTCCCAGCAGCACCCTCACAGGCTGTGCAACTGACTAATCTCCTCGAGCTTCACCTCCATCATTTGTAAAACAGAGACGATGGCGGTAACATACCAGCTTCATAGCTATGAGCATTTAGTGGGGCAAGCCGCACACACAGTGCTTAGTACACGGAAAACAGAAATGATGATCATCGTTGCTAGTGGTAGTGGTGTTGATTTAGGAGCATGAGACAGGTGTCAAGACCCCTGGCTTGTAGATTCAGCTCTGCCTAGAATTTTCTATGTGATACCCATTGTTTTTTCCATCTGTGCATTAAGAGGACTAGATGCTCTCTAAGGCTTCTCCATTTCCACCCTCTGTGATTCCCCACCCACCACCTCCAAGAATAGGGCACTGGTGAGGATCAGGCAAGGCGGAAGTGTCTTTCCAGTCTAGGGTGCCACCTGGTGGCCGCATGGGCTCACTGCAGTTGGCAGCTATGGCTGGGTTTTTCTCCCGCATCAAATTCCATCCATTTCTCCAGGTGAAGCCAATGCCAGGCTGAGGAGCTTGGGAGTGACAGGGAAAGGATTTATGTAGGGAGATGAAGGAAAGTTAAATGCTCTGTGAATTCCATTTGTCGATAAGCAAACAGATGAAGATAAGCTGAGGGCCCAGAGTGTGCAGGGCTCAGCAGGGCTCAGCAGGGCGGGGGGGGGGGGGGGGAAGGGGGGCAGAATGTGGGGAGGTGCAGACAATCAGGCCTTACCTGGGGGAGGGCGGAGTTAAGGTGGCGCTGGAGCTGGTCCCGCTCATGCAGGGCATCTTGGAGCCGGCTCTGCGTGGCTGCCAAGGTCTCCTGACTCTCCCGAAGGGACTCCAGCAACTTCTCCCGCTCATCCAGCATGTTCACCATCAGCTGCTCAAAGTTGGCGTCAGCATCGGCGCCATGGGGGGGGCCCAGGGGGTCCCCCTCGTTGATTGTGGGCATCACCTCACACATGGTGGGGGTGGACAGGGCCTTCTCAGCGTCGGGGGACAGGGGAGGGGTTCACAGGGTTGGCACCTCCAGGGGGACCCAGTGCATGGGTCTCAGAGCAGGCAGCGCCAGGTGAGTGGGCAGGTGGGCAGGGGCTTCTCCCATGGCATCAGTCGCTCTTGCTCTGAAAGGGGCCTGGTGCCCGGAGTGCCCCTGTGGAATGGAGCCAGAGGGCCTGGCTTAACCTCTCAGGGCTGGGGCTGGGTGCCCTATGTCCCCAGACAAGCGGGAAGCAGCCGAGTGTGGCCATGACAGGCAGGGAGAGCAGGGCTGGAAGAGGGCCCGTCCTTAGGCTGAGTGCTGGAGCCTGGCAGAGTCCCAGCTGGGTCTAGCGACGCCCATCGTTTCTGGAGGGCAGTGGTCTGTGGGAGAAGAGGCTGTGATGAGGACCAGCTGAGGAAAGAAGGGCATCCAGGGGAGGGGATGGCGGCGGGGTGGGAGGGGTGGGGGGGGGAACAGGACCTGGACCAGAACGTGGGGGAGGAGAAGGAGATGTCAGCGCATGCCCCTCCTCCAGGCTTACTCACTCACTCGGATGGCGCCTTCCTTAGTTCTCCCAAGGAACGCACATGCCCGCTGCCGTAGCCTCTGCCTCCAGCTCTCCCCACCCCCCAGCTGTCAGAAGTGCAGCCGCAGTGGAGTGGTTCCCCACCCACGTGGCTCACTGGCCAAATATAGAAATGATTCAGTCAGTGGCAGGGGAGCAGCCAGCAGGCTGCCCAGAGTCCTCCTGAGACCCAGGGGTGGGTAAGTGAAAGGGGGGTAAATAGGGTCTCTGCCCCCACCATAGCCTTCCCCCCTGCACTCAGGCCGAGGTAAGCACAGAAGGGGTTAAAGGGCTCTAAGCAGGTGTGAACCCACACAGGGTGCACTATTAGGGTTACAGGAGACAAGGCCAGGGTACCTCCTACCCTGACCACTGACCCAGTACGGTTCCTTGGAAAGGCACGGGCTGGGCACTGGGTGGCAGAGAGCCCTGACCTGCTCCATGCCCATCATTTGGAAAAGAGGCTCCAGGGGCACCTGGGTGGCTCAGTCGGTTGAGCAGCCGACTTCAGCTCAGGTCATGATCTCACGGTCCGTGAGTTCGAGCCCCGCGTCGGGCTCTGTGCTGACAGCTCAGAGCCTGGAGCCTGCTTCAGAGTCTGTGTCTCCCTCTCTCTGACCCTCCCCCATTCATACTCTGTCTCTCTCTGTCTCAAAAATAAATAAACGTTAAAAAAAAATTAAAAAAATAAAAAGGAAAAGAGGCTCCAGCTCAAGTCGCCCCTCCTCCTGAAACCTGGCAGAGAGCAGGCTTCCGTTCTGAAGTCGTGGCCCGCGACTTCCGTGTCGGAGCAGGAACTCAATGATGCGAAGGAACCCACGGTCAGGTGGGGGTAAAGGGTGTCAGTCTCCCGAGGCGTGCGGGCCCCTGCACATGGCCGGGAATCTTCTCCCACCGTGTAACGGCCCATCGCTGCCACTGCCAGCAGGCTGGTTTCCCTGCTGGGGAACGTGTGCCCAGCCTAGCCTTGAGAACACCCTGAGCCCGGCGCGGGGAAGCCCAGGGGTCAGAGCAAAGAATGGTGTACCAAGGAAGGCAGCGTGCAGCTGGGGATTCCTCTGCCTGCCATTGCCTTCCAACCCCCCTGCCCACTGCCAGGAGGCCACTACTTTAATCCGTTTCCGAAGAGCTCTTGCTGCACGAGAAACAGGATGTGAGGCAGTCAGCACGGTAATGGGCACACACAGGAGATGCCCTCTAAATGATGCTTTCCTTCCTTTCCCTCCTCTTACCATCTGGGGGACACAGGGACTGCGTCTTGTCCACCCCCCGCCCCCGGTGGCAGACTGGGCAACAGGCAGACTGGGACAATCAGGGGAAAGACAGGAGGTATGAGGACCCGATGCGAGGACAGAAGTTGGACGTTGGGCAGCCCCCAGCCTGTGGCAGGGCTGAACCCAGCAGGGAAACCAGAGAAGGACCAAGCCTCTTCTACCTGAACCCACCTATCATCCCCCGCTTGCCCCCCCCCCAAAAGTACTCATGATCCAGGCAGAAATGGGAGCAGCAAGAGGGAGGCTGGGGAGGAATGTGGGCCTAGATCAGACACAAGCTAGAGCACCAGCTTGAGAACTCCTGAGCTCACCCCCACAGTCCTTCCCAGGGGGCCCAGGAGTTCAGGCAGGCATGTGGGTACGCCCACACACACACACGCGTGCACGCACACATGCATACAAGCAGACGCCGAACCATGGGGACCTGGGACATGCACGTGTGGCCACACACATGCTCCCAGACCCACACTGGACACAGACTCTGATCCAGGGGATCCTTTCCCCAAGCTGGAAGCCACCGTGGAGGGCTGGGTCCCTAGCAGCTACAGAGGTCAAAAGTAGCACCCTGGTCTGCACCCTCCCAGCCCAACGTCCCTGCCCCACAGAGCAGATGGGAGTAGACAGGAGGGGCTGCTACCCCAGTCTTGCCAGGAGTGCCAACTCACTAATGCCAATAATAGTGATTCCTCCAATTCTCCCTCCCACTGTGCCCACGACCCTCACCCCGAATGCCCTAATCTGTGAGGCTAAAAGACCACAACCTCTCCAAACTCACCAGCTGCCAGGCCCTCGTCCCCTCCCACTCCCCCATCCCACTCCAAGAAGAAATGAGAGAGAAGTGAGGGTCTGGCTGGGGAAGAGGCTCCTTGTGACAGAACCTGTCCTCGGAAGAAGAGTGTAGTGCACTCAGGAGCTCAGGGTCCTGGGAACAGCCTCAGTCCAACAGATCCCCAGGCATCCTGCAGTGTAGTAAGAGAGGAAGGAGCCCAGAGCCGGGACTCTGGACACCTCGGGTGCAGTTCTGCCACAGACCAGCCGGATGACCTTGGGCTTGTCGCCACCTACTGAGAGCTCTGCTGTAAGATGGAACCCACGACCCTTGCTCTGCCCACCTTCAAGGGATGAGATCACAGATAACACAGAGCTGGGAAAAGCAGAAAGCACCCCATGATTGCAGGGGCGTGTGAATTACCTTAGTAGAGGGCAAAGGCAGGCCTGTGGGAGGGCTTGTCCTAGCTCCTACGGAAAAGGGGCTGGGAGGTTCTCAGGAAGGAAGAACAGACCTCAGGCTGCCCGCCGGGATGTGCTGGCTATTTGGTCCAGCTTGGCCTCCCCCAGTCCTCCTGGTCTTTCTGGCAACTGAGAAGCTGGCTGCCCCCAGCCTTTCCCAGCCTCCCTCCCAACCAGGTGCCAGGTAACCACTCCACTTCCGCTAGTGAAATGGCATCACGTAGAGCAGGTTGAGGATGAGCCCAGAGGGCGATGCCAGGCAGATGCCCTGAGATGGCTGGCCAGGACCCCCCTACCCTGCCCCCACTTGTGCAGCAGGGTGAACAATAGCCAGGAGCCCTAGGGCAACCGGGTCGGGACACCTGGCTCCTTCTGGTTCCAGGGCCGGCTTTCAATAGCGCAATTATCACCTCATCCTACCAGAAGCCTCTTCAACTCCTGCACAATTTCTAAGTAACACTCACAGGTCCTGATTCAGAGGCGACAGCTACCAGCCCCCAAAGTGAGCATTTGAGGGGCTTTGCCGGTGAGGAGTATGGGCAGGCTGTGACACCGAGGAAGAGGGCTCCAGAGAGAGCAGGCATGAGTGTGAGTGCAAGTGTGTGAGTGTGTATGGAGGGGTCAGACCCACACCAGGTGTCTGGACTCATAAACACAGAAGAGGCAAATCTGAGGCCTCTCTGGCTTTCCAAGAGTCACCCCCCCCCCCCCCATCTCTTCCCAACAAACAGAAGGGCTGTGCACTTGACTTGGGTCTGATGCTCTGGCTGGACACACACACACACACACACACACACACACACACGGGCCGGCTCCCTACTGCCCTACCAGATGGCAGGCCCCACCATGGTGAGGGAGCTCATCGAGGGCAAAGCTGGTGGCCCTGTAGAGGCCAAAGGGTTAGGGCAAAGCTGGCTGGAGCTGTGCCCAAATGTGAGTGGGCCATGAGCTTGGCCAAGAGGGGGCCTCAGGGTGAAGCCCCTCAGAGCAAGGAGGCAAAAGAGGAGGGCCGTGCTCCCTTCCTTCCCATGCTCCCACTCAACTGGAGGAAGGGGAGGGAGGTGGTCCTCTAGGAAAATAATACTGATTACGATAGCAGCTCTGATGTATTCGATACCAGGCACTGGGCTGTCGGTTAACATCTATTAACTTGCTTCCATCCTCACAATTCCTCACGAGGAAGACCCAATTCTTCCAGTTCTTCCCAGTGAGAACTGGGTCTCAGAGTCATGTAACGAAGTCTACGCAGCTGGGAAGAGGAAGAACTAGGATTCGATCCCGGTCTGTCTGACTCCAAGGAGGAGGGGAAGGCAGTTGAGAAAGGGAAGACAGGCCATGACTCCTTTGCCATTTCTCGCCCTTGTCCAGGGACAAGGCAGCCTAGGGACATATCGTCTTGGCTTCCCCCACCCCCGTGCCCCCTGGGGAAGGCCTCTGCACAGCAGCCACCATGGTCACTTGCCCATTGGAAGTGACTCATTTCCAAGGCCTCATCCGCCACCCACCTGAAGCCCTCCCCCGACCCCAGATGCCCTAAGGACTCCAAACTGAGCTGTCAACAGTCCCCTGAGCCCCGCACCCCACACCACACTCCTGCAAGAACTACAGAAACAGCCCTCAGCTCCCCTCACCCTGCAGGGTTTTCAGATACAATCCTCTGAATGAAGTCCAGCTGCCCACCTCTCCTTCCCTCTAACCCAGAAGTTTCTCCTCCTCCCTCCTCCCTCTCCCTGTTCAGCCCACCACCCCAAAAAGCCTCACCCTCACTCTTCCTCTCCCCCAAGAGCCCAGTGAGTCTCCTCCCCTGCTACTCCCTACCCTGGGGTCATGCTCCCAGACCCACCAGCTGGGTCAGCTGATGTCAGCTTCTAGCATCTCACCCAGCCTGCCTCAGTGGCCCCTTCCATGTCAGTCTAAGGCACTTCCGCTCACCCTTCCAAGCCCATCTCAAACACTATTTCCTCCATGGAGCCCTTTCTGATTCTCCTACAGGTAAGACTGGCCCTTCGACGGACCCGACACGGCCCTTTCTTTATACCTATCTCCGTGACACATCATCGCACCTGAATACTCTGGGGTGAGAACCATTTCCTACTTGTCTTTGGATGCTCCAGCCAGAGGCCTAACATACATGGGACTGAACAGATACGTGTGGCAGAGTCATTTCTGGGCAGACCATCGCTGACCAAGTTCAAAGAAGAGGAATTCCAAAAGAGTGAACACTGGCCCAAGGCCTGGGAGCAGGTTCCTTTCTCTTGCCCTCTGAAAAGTAAAGCTTCTTGAGAGCAAGACAGGCACCCCTCCTCCCTTG